TTCTTCCAGGGTAAGCCACATGGCTTCACTGCCTCCTTAGACTGGACCTTTGAGCCTTCAGCCCCCCTGCTTTACAATGTGAGCTCCATTCAGCAAGTCTAGCTGAGACAGACCGTACTGGAGACTTGTACGCTCCTCAGGGATTAATGTGCCTCACCAAGCATTTGCAGCGACACTCACACAGCATTGTCAAAACAGTAGGGTTTATTCATTAACTGGAACACAGCACAGGAAGTCCTTAGGGTAGCACAGAGGAATTAAGGTTAAAGAATAGTCCATTCTGGTCAGCCCAGCCAAACTGTATTGAACCCCTTGGTTTAAGCTCTGTCTTTGAGTCTAACCTCCTTTGTCAGCCTCCAGGGAGAGCCCTATCTCCTTCCAGCCTCCAACTCTGATCCCCCACCTCACACCTTCCCAGTCTTTTGTTCTTCAGATGGGGAGTGTTGCTCAGCCTCCCTGCTGAGAAGTGGGGAGATCCAAATCCCTTTGGGTCCTTGCTTGCTGGGTGTCAGTGTCTGGTCAATTAGCTTTGCCATTGTCTTTTCAATGCTCCATTGATATGGGGATCTATCCCCAGACAGGTGACACCTGCACCCAGGTCTCTTATCCTGCTCTGAGCACAAACAGTCCTTTTCCACCTACTGTATAACAGCATATGGGGAAACTGAGGCACAAGCTGGCCTCATAAAAATATTATGAAATATTCCCACATTATTAGTCATGATTTTATGTTTTTTCCAGGTGTGACAAAGTTTGCAGATGATACAAAAATTGAGGGAATGATAAATGACGAGGACAGGTCATTGATTCAGAGCAATCTGGATCACTTGGTAAAGTGGGTGCAAGCAAACAATGTGTGTTTTGGTATAACTAAATGTATACAACGAGGAACAAAGAACGCAGGCCACACTTACAGGATGAGAGAGTCTATCCCGGGAACAGCAACTCTGACAAAGATTTGGGGGTCCTGATGGATAGTCAGCTGAACATGAGCTCCCGGTGTGACACCGTGGCCAAAACAGCTAATGCAATCCTGGGGTGCATAGAAAGGGGAATCTTGAGTATGAGCAGAGAGGTTATTTTACCTCTGGATTTGGCACTGGTATGACCACTGCTGGAATCCTGTGTCCAGTTCTGGTGCCCATAATTCAAGAAGGATGTTGACAAACTGGAGAGGGGTTCAGAGAATAGTGATGAATAATTTAAAGATTAGAAAACCTGCCTTATAGTGACAGACTCAAAGAGAGCTCAGTCTCTTTAGCTTAACAAAGAGAAGGTTAAGGGGTGACTTGATTACAGTCTAAGATTACATGGGGAACAAATCTTTAATAATGGGCTCTTCAGTCTAGCAGAGAGAACTCTAACACAATCCAGTGGCTAGAAGTTGAAGCTAGACAAATTCAGATTGGAAATAAGGTGTACATTTTTGACAGTGAGGGTATATAACCCTAGGAACAATTTTCCAAGTGGCACGATGGACTCTCCATCACTGGCAATTTTTAAATCGAGACTGGATGTTTTTCGAAAAGATCTGCTATAGGACTTATTTTGGGGTAGTTCTCTGGCCTGTGCTATGCAGAAGGTCAGACTAGGTGATCACAATGGTACCTTCTGGCCTGGGAATCTATTAATCTAAATTAGCCATCCTAACTGTTCATACAGTCTCTTCTCCCACTGTAATGTGGCCCAGTGTTCCACAAAACCAAAACCTTCAGCTTCATGCCAGCCAGGCAGCTAATGGTTCATCTCCAGTATTTTCCACCTTCATTTGTTGGACCAAAAGGATTCTGGAGAATATAACTTGACTTTCCACTTAAGATCCCTGAAGTCTTAGAAAATCTGTAGTTCCCCATAATGGTTCTACTGTGTCATCAGTGAAGACTTGCCAGACAACCTAATAGCCCTGTCCATCTGGCAGTTGCATCTCATATTTTCGCTCCAGGGGGACAGCGCATCAGCTTATTATCTGTGTGTCTCTTCCTGAGATCTCTCTGCACTCTTTTTAATAAGGAGTGGCTGATTACTATTGCTTGCTTTCTAAGGAGGTTTGAAGAACCTCTCTAAGTAGCTGCTTGCTTCATATCACAAGGATGCCCATGAGGTTTGTCCCCTATAGTTTTCTCTTCTTTTCCTCAAGACAGGTTCCTCAGTTGTTGACTCGCTGGGTTATCTGAGAACTCTTTGATACCTATAGCCAGGTTGAATGCTTCCTGGTTCTCTTTCCCATCCTGGTCACAAATTGACAGTCCACTTCTTCAGTTTCTACTCTCTCCATTATTACCAATCACCTTTCATCCTGTCCATACTCCGTTCCTCTTCCTTCCCTCTAAGTTTGCCAAAGGAAGCTGAAAGTGGAAGTGGGAGATTTTGGCTCTGACCTGTCTTGGAGCTATTACCCCAACATTGGAGAATGGGATGAAGAAACTGTCGTGAAATGAAATGCTGCTCCCTGCATCTAATGATGAAAGAGTCAACTAGCAGAATGATTTAAATATGTCTCAAATGATAGAATATCAGGGTTGGAAGGGACCTCAGGAGGTCATCTAGTCTAACCCCCTGCTCAAAGCAGGACCAATCCCCAACTAAATCATCCCAGCCAGGGCTTTGTCAAGCCTGACCTTAAAAATATCTAAGGAAGGAGATTTCACCACCTCCCTAGGTAAACACATTCCAGTGTTTCACCACCCTCCTACTGAAAAAGTTTTTCCTAATATCCAACCTAAACCTCCCCCACTGTGACTTGAGACCATTACTCCTTGTTCTGTCATCAGTTACCACTGAGAACAGTCTAGATCCATCCTCTTTGGAACCCCCTTTCAGGTAGTTGAAAGCAGCTATCAAATCCCCCCTCACTCTTCTCTTCCTCAGACTAAACAATCCCAGTTCCCTCAGCCTCTCCTCATATGTCATGTGTTCCAGTCCCCTATCATTTTTGTTGTCCTCCGCTGGATTCTTTCCAATTTTTCCACATCCCTCTTGTAGTGTGGAGCCCAAAACTGGGCACAGTACTCCAGATGAGGCCTCACCAATGTTGAATAGAGGGGAACGATCACGTCCCTCGATCTGCTGGCAATGCCCCTACCTATACATCCCAAAATGCCATTGGCCTTCTTGGCAACAAGGGCACACTGTTGACTCATATCCAGCTTCTCGTCCACTGTAACCCCCAGGTTGATGCAGATACATTAAGTGTTGCTGCAGATACATTAAGGCACAGGAAACAATGCACTGAAGTTTGTCTAGTTTAACCAAACCGAGGAAAAATAGAACTTATCTGCCACCAGCTGTGCCTCCTTCTGATGGGAGTTGTACATTGTGTGACCTGGATGTTAAGCAGATTGCGAGACAAGAACAGTATGAGAATGTTAGGTCCCCCAAAGAAGCAACAGCACCAGTCACTAAATGAAGATACTAAAAGTGACCAAAAATCTTTCAAAACTGGGCTGAAAATATATCCAAGCAGTAAGTCTCTCACCCTCCAGGGGGCGTTTGCCTGCAAGTCTGAGGTGGCATCTCTGCTCCGAACACACATCACACTATCTTCTTGGAAAACTTACTTTTGGGGCTTACATTTCTCAGCTTTTTCTAGAGAGCTTAAATAAAACCCTTTCGGCTGTTGGAATGGGCAAGGAGACTCCACTGTAAATAAAGAATTCAGGGCTATTTGTGCTCATCCCCAAAACAGCTGATTTTTTTTAAATGATATAATTTGGCAAATATTTGTTTCCCTGTATTTGGAGGGGAAGGGAGAGACAAAAGTGAAATTGTAAATGGAAGTAAATGGGACATGTACTATGCACTGTATGTAACTGATAGATTCAGCCCTCGAATCCTACCATCCAAACTGCTGAATTTCTCCACAATACACAGTTCTTAATGAAGGAAGCAGAAGGGACATATTATGTCTAACAGGTCTTTTTCCTGGGCATGTATATGTACATAAACTTTAATATTAAATTAGTTCAGGAGCAGATTTGTGCAGTCCTATATTATTTTTAAATCCACAAGTCACACAATGCTAAAGTGAAGGTTCTTGCAGTAGCAGTAACCTAGCCACATTTCAGAAATGTAGACCTAGCTCAGCCTTCCGGTATATTTCAGAGTCCAGACTGCTCACAGGAGATAAATAAGGTTTTTGTGTTGTGCCTTTCACTTAGCACCAGTTTGAGTCATCATGTTGTCTCATTGTCATTTCAAGAATCAAATTCCATCTGTTTCCTCCAACAGTAAAATTGAAGGAGAGTCTCAATAGCAAACTCCTCCTGCTGCCATCTCCAGAAAGTAAACAAACAGCTTTCCTGGTGCCAAGGCCACATGGAATGTTGGGTGCCATGGGTCTGATCTGCAGAATGCTGAGCACCGCCAGTGCCAAGTGCAGTCAGTGGGAGCTGTGGCTGCTCAGCACCTCTGCAAATCAGGCCCCACCTGACTAATATGAAACTCCAACACCACTGCTCAGAGCTGTCTCGCAAGAGCTTTGCACTGGTCTATGGTCCATCCAGAAGAGCTTAGAAGCGAGTTTTTCTGATGGACTGTCAGGTCAGAATTGCATTGTAAGGATTCAGGATTTTGAGGATAGGCCAGTCCTGTTTGTTACTCTAATGTGAATCTGGAGCAACTCCATGGACTTCTTTGGCATGATATAGGATTTACACCATTTAAGTGAGCAGGGTCTGTGCTGCTGAGGAGAATCTGAAGAAATGGTTTTTCACTTTTTCAAAATATTTTCATCTTCTTAAAGTGCCCATAGGATTCTCCCCCAGTGGAGTACAAATGGGTGGTTATGTTTCTTCTGTTCTAACTCCCTTAGGGCTGGCACACACAACCGACCCCACCTTCTCCATCTAATCACAGCTTTCACTTAAAACAAGTGTTTCTAGAGCTCTTGTTCTGAGGAGACTCCAAAGTGCTCCCTTGGGAGCTGAGGTTGTCATGGTGAGCATTCCTTGAAATCAGGGATTATTCACAGTACCTAAATAGCATTCCAGTTCCCTAGGCACCACTCCTCCGGGGAACTCTTGCTTCTGTCAGCTGCATTCTCACATTCCTGCACCTCTTCTGTACAAGACAGACAAAGGTGCAAGCTTCATTCCTGCCCAGTCCCCTCTGAGTGCAGTAGGATGAGTGCCCTCAGGGGTTGGGTGCTGAGATGCCAGAGAGGAGTGTAGTATAAAAACTTAGGTCCAATCACTCAGAAATTACAGTTTCTGTGGTGCAGCAGGAGCCTTTGATTGCAGCAGAAAATGGGCTGTGACCTCTGGGGTCAGGAGTAGGTTCTGCTCCGAATGTGGGTTTTCCAATGTTTGGCTTTCTGAGCATGCAAGGGAATGAGCTGGAGTCTGTGCAGTTTGGGATTAATTTGTAAACAAATGGCTTTACCTGTCCCCTTGTGTCTTTTTGCAGATGGGTCGTGCGTGGCTGTGGTTGGAGTCCAACAGAGAATCTCCCAGTGACTCTGTGAAGAGTAGTGGCTGCCTGTCTCTCAGCAGCTCCTGGGACTCCAGCCTGGAGCTGGAGGTGGGGAGCTGGAGGATGACTGAAGAGGCCGCTGTGGAGGAACAAGAGGAAAGCAGTCAAGAAGAAGAGGATCGCAGGCTGGAGTCCAGGGAACCTCTGGTATGGGAGGATGGCAGAGAAGAGTTCCAGGAAGAGGCAGGGCAGTGTGAACAAGACAGTCTTCTGCAGTTCCTCTTGGAGGTAGGGCTGCTGCAGTGGGTAGCTGGAGAAGAGTCTGCATGACCCATCTTCTAGAATAGTGCTACTCAAAGTGGTGGTCCGCAGACCGGTGCCAGTCCGCAAGCCATCAGCTGCCGGTCTGCATGCACATTGGAAAAAAAATTGCCGGTCCCCCACATCAGATCGCTTGAGAAGCACTGCTCTAGAACAATGCCTTGGAAACACTGATGCTCTGAGCATCTCTGCCATGTATAACTGTTAGTGTGGAAAGAAAAGGAGTACTTGTGGCACCTTAGAGACTAACCAATTTATTTGAGCATGAGCTTTCGTGATGCATCCGATGAAGTGAGCTGTAGCTCACGAAAGCTCATGCTCAAATAAATTGGTTAGTCACTAAGGTGCCACAAGTACTCCTTTTCTTTTTGCGAATACAGACTAACACGGCTGTTACTCTGAAACCTGTTAGTGTGGAGCAACAGAGACCCCTAGAGCCCATTTAGATGAATGACTGTATTCTCAAAGGAAAGTCCAAGTCTGCCATATTTAAAGAGGGCACAGTGGCTGGCTGGTTGTCTTGCCTGTGGGTCTCCTGATCCTGATGCAGAGCCAACCATTTAAAAGGTGATGGGCTGACGCTCTTTTAATAATGCTCTTGATTTGGACACTGTGCTTTATTAAAGTCCCTGAAGGTGAAAAGGCAGCTGTAATGGAGGAGCCCTATGTGGTTCATGCTGCTGATCCCTCCCTCCTCCTAATCACTCATGCTCTCGTAGTTTGAAGTTGGTAATAAATTGCTCTGTGTTACAGGTGACCCACCTCATGGAACCCCTCTGCATTAGTGGCACAGACTCAGAACAGAATCACTGGACTTTCTGTGGCTCTGGGCAGCAAGAGGAAAGGGAAGTCCTGAGCTTCAAGGAAGAAATGGCAGGACCACTAGTCCCAAGAGAGGAGGAAAGGCAGCTGCAGCTCCTGATAGAAGAGGCTGGGGAACTGCACATCCCAGGAAGAGAGGTGCGGGAGGAGTGGGTACCACAGGTATCAGGAGAGCTGCAGGTCCTGGGCTGGGAGGCTGGAGAAGCTGAGGAAGAACAGATTCTAGGAGAGGAGACAGGAGAGCCCCAAGTTCCAGGAGGGGAGGAAGGAGATTCAGGAGAGCAGAGAGAGCTGCAGTTTCCAGTGGAGAATGGAAGAGAAATGGAGGAGGAAGAGAAGAACAGGAAGCTGCTTCTGGATGAGACTTCCTCGGACATGAGTGCGTTGGAGGAGGTGCTCCCAGGCAGCGTGGAGGTAAATGCATGAAAACACCTAGTCTTGTTATCAAGGCAGTGGACTCGGAGTCTAGAGACCTGGGTTCCTTTCAGACTGCCTGTGTGATCTCGAGAAGTCCTTGTGGCACCTTAGAGACGAAAAAATTTATTTGGGCATAAGCGTTGGTGGGCTAGAACCCACTTCATCAGATGCATGGAGTGAAAATACAGGAGCAGGTATAAATACATGAAAGGATGAGGGTTGCTTTACCAAGTGTGAGGTCAGTCTAACAGAATAAATCAATTAATAAATCTCAGGCAAGTCACAATCTCTCTGGGTCTCAGTTCACCATCTGTAAAATGGGGATAATGATCCTTACTTTGTCTTCTGTATTAGACTCTTTGTCTCCTGTGTGTCCATGCAGGGCTCAGACTAGGCCATCTCAGTTTCACACCTCTAGGTGTTACTGTAATAAAAGCAATGATAAGGCTGGGTAGGACAGTACCCTTGCTATCTGTGGCCAAGCCCTTTGCGTTGCCATGTCACAGAGTCAGATACAAGAGATGAAAAGTGCCTTTGAGGGTCCACCTGCTTCTCCTGTACAGCCAGGCCAAGGGTGTCCTGGAGATGTATCTATAGGGCTCGCTCCAATTTCCAAAGTCCCATATGATGGAGTAGTCCTCCATCTCGCTGGGGAGCCTGTTCCACAGCCTCAAATCTCACCCTCTGGCGCTTTCCAAGGTGCCCTGTTCTGAGTCAATCCACTACTCCTAGTTACGCCCCCTCTAGCACCCTAAGTAACACTTCTCTCTGATCTAGATGGTCAGTGGACTAGATGGATCTTGGGTTTGATCCAATATGGCAATTCCTGTGTTCCTAGGTGAGCTTGTAGTTGGCCTTTGGTTAGCTTCTCTGTGAGCTTGCTCAGGAACCGAAGGTTTCGTATGGATACTGATCCTGGTAGTTGGCTCGAACTGATGTAGCCAGGATGAGATTCTTCAGTGTTGGTTGGACTATTGCATGTTTGAAAGAGGAAGGGAAGATTCCTTCCCTGAATTTGGGATTGGCTCTTTTGGTCAGGAGTGGCCCATGACTCTCTTACAACAGCCAGGAAAGTTTTGGCTCATATTCACACATTTCGAGTCAAGATTCTTTTATGGTGTCCAGAACTTCCTAAGGTGTGACCGTGCTGACTCTGGGAGTGCAAGCAGTTCTGTAGAGGAGAGGGCCCATGCGTTTTGAGAAGCCTTCCTGACTGTGCACGATCAGTTCAGCAAAGTTCAGGGTTCCATTGTGGGCTGCAGGCCAGTGACCTCACTGTTCTCTGACCAGTCAGGATCACATCTCAGTTTCCTGGTGGGCTCTTTTAGTAGCTTCTTGATCACTAGTTATGCTACAACCTCCTTGGCCTGCTGTCCCTCCTTGCCAAGGTACCAGTACCTGTTTCCTGATTGACCACGTGCCTTAGTTATCACATCCTCCCGTCTACCTTTTCCTCAGCTAGTCCATCATCATCTCCCCCTGCCATGTGTCTGCTGCCTCCCTTTCAGTACCCGTGTGGCCTCTCTTGGTGTCTGAACCTGCTATCTAAGCCCCCAATCTTTCCCTCCAGAGCTGGAACCAGCTCAAACCTGTGTCAATAGACCACACAAACTCCCTATGGCACAGTTTTCCCTTCACAGCCATTTCCTTTTTGCTACTGGTCAGGCCCCTTCCCTTGCTAAACTCTGTTAGCCACTGGTCATTCTGCTTCTTTTCTGTCCCTGGACCTCCCCGTATGCCACTCCTAGTTTCTGGACTGACCGGCGGAAGGTAACATCCATCTGGGCTGTTCTTTGGGGACTGCCTTATTGATGGACAGAGTGTGGCCACTCTGGTAGCATGAGAAAGGTGTGGTGAGGGGATATTGGCCACCAGCCGCCACTGGACTGAAAGGCTGAAAATGAACGTCAGACGCTCAGAGGGACACTCACAGCTCCTACAGGCTGAAGGTGAGTGTCAGATGCACAGAGGGAGACTCACAGCTCCTTTCTGCCCACCTAAGAGAACAGCTTCCAGGAGACCATAAAGACCCTGTCTTGAAGCTTGGCTGTAATACGGGGACATGCAGCAAGTCTGTCCCCTGGCTGGGGGATTCCAGTTGATCTGCTGCTTTGCCAGGCATCCCTGTCACTGAGGTACCCAGCCCTGCAGGCATTATTCCTCCTTTCTGTTTGTTTCCAGGGTGATGTTCTGGAGCAGCCTGCAGAACGTGCTCAGGGCGAGAGCCACTTGTTGGAGGAGGACAACGATCTCTCCGCACATGATAACAGTGATAGCTACAGTCCTTCTAGAGCATCCCTGGTGGACTCCAGTCTCATGAGCGCAGCCTCCTCACAGCTGTGAGTAGCACAGCCCTGGGTCTGGTAGGTGCTGCTGATGCTGTGGCCCCTTCGCTCCACCTGCATGCCGTAGCGTGGACCTGTCTCCATGGGCCCAAGACAGAGAGCATGTACATGGAGGGGGTCATCTCACGGAAGGTGAGCGAACACCAGGGAACAGGGGGAAGGAGAGGGCCCTGGATGCCTGGGTGATAATAGAGCATCCAACCTTTGGATGCTAGTCCTAATGCAGGTAAAGTGAAATGGGGGGTGGGAACCAAATGTACAGGAAACCCCAGTGTTTCTTTCGGGGTTACCTGGCATGCTCTGCCAGGCACAAGAGTCCAGGCCCGCTCCCAGGTGGAGATGTGCTGAGGCAGCCGAGCCAACCCTGCCCTGGGGAGGGTGTGTGACAGACAGGCTCTGTTACACACTGGAGAAGCTGGTTTGGCTTTCCAAAGAAAAGGATGCAGCAGAACATAAAATAAAATCTATTCTTCCAGGACAGGAACGAGAACAAAAGTCACCAGAATAAAGGCCTTTGCCCCAGTGTGGTTTGCGGCTTCTTGCCCAGTTCTGGACCCAGCTTCCTGGCCTCTCCTCAGAGCTGCCCTGATTCAGCTCATCTCACCTTCTATGATTGCTACCTATAACCCTGCGTCTTCTTGTGCCTCAAGTCCTGGCTGATTACCAGTTTGCTACACTGTGATTTAGTAGTGGTCTAACTGTAGTAACACTGCACACCAGACACCCACCAGTCAGAGCTATCACTGCCTCCTCCTATGGAGATATTCACACCAATTACAGCATCTCGTTCTGTGGAAAGAAAGACAAAAGACTGGACTCCTTGTCCTGCTTCATTCATTTCACAGCCATTCCCACACTTGTAGCACAAGGAGCCAGACATCCTTAAAGTGACAGGCCACCATCGCATAGACTCCCACGTGAGTTCTGTGCACTTGTGTGGCAGGAGGCTAGGTATGATGTAGGGCCATGGAATGGAACATGGGAACTGGAGGGCTGCAGCAGGGACAAGGCCCTGATCCACAAAGGGACTTAGACATTGCAACAACTAATGTCAGGTGCCTAGAATATCCTTGGCATCCACAAAGCCTGGGTTAGGTGCCAAGGGTCCCTGTACAATGAGGATCCACAGAACATGAGCACACTATGCAGGCACCACCTAAACTGGCCAATGGGATAGGCTGAGGAGAGGGAAGTATCCTAAGCCCCACCCCCTCACAGCATTCAGTTCCTAAATCCAGGGTGCCTGGAGGTACTTGTCTCTGCTTGCGATCCACAGCCAGGAGCCCTCTCCTGGAGTCAGGTGGCTGAGGCCTTCCTTACAGGGTCATAGATTCCAAGGCCAGAAGGCCCCACTGTGATCATCTAGTCTGACCTGCTGCTTAGCGCCGTGACACATTAACGAGATAACTTCCCAAAATATTTCCTAGAGCAGAGCTAATCTCAGAGTACTCCCTGGGATGTGAGAAACCCCTGTTCAGTCCCCTCTCTGAAGCATGAAGAGGGATTCCCTAATCAGATAGGAGCCCTAACCCCTGGACTATAGAGTTATACTCACTTGTGCTCTGACCTCATTCATATTTAATTCATTAATACAAAGTGGAATGGCCTCAACAAGAGAGACTGAAAGACCCCTACCTTGGACTCTCCAACAGGCCAATGACGAGGGGCCTTACCTGAAAGCAAAGCCCTTTGCTTCACCAAGTAGAAAGGGGCACTGAACCTGGGTCTTCCACCTCCGAGGTGCGTACCTTAGCCACTAAGCTAAAGGCCATAAGAGAGGTTATTGCCCTCTCCCCCCTGGCCATGCTGTGCAGGGCAGCCATGCTCAGCAAGTCTGGGCCAGTGTGGGCCCTACAGGCAAGCTAAACAGAGGAGTGCCTGTTTCCATCCATTTGGGGATCTCATTAAGGCTTATACCTGAGGTGGGCCTCCAGACACCTGCCTGAGGCAGCAGAGCTCATCCCCAGAGGCAGAAACTTCGGTGCTGAGGGAACTTTTACAGCCTGGTGAATTTAGGCACCTACAGGGTTAGGTGGCAGCTGAGCAGGAGTTGTGTGGATCACAGCAGCGCTGAAAGTCCCTTTGTGGATCTGAGCAAAAGAGACTCTCCACCACCAGACTGAGAGAGCTCAGTGATCCCGCGGGAGCTCAGTGACTTCTCCCCAGGTTTTGCTGCCTTTAGTAAACTCTGCACATGGTGCCTTGGTGGCTCAACCATTGCTAAAGACCTGTTCTAGCCTGTGAGTTGTGGGTCCAATGGCAACTGTTGCGACTGAGCTGAACCCTAAAGAGAGTCTCTGGAGGGACCCAAACAAAGGAAGTGCCTTGGGAAATACTTTCCCATAGATCCCTGATGGGGGAGCCACTCCATACATCCCTGATGGGGAGACTTGCCCTGTAGCTACCTGGAAGGTGTTTTGTTTAGACTACAAGCTAAAGAGCAGTGACCTTCCCTCCTCCCGAGTGTCCTGGAGGCCAGCAGTGGCAGTACATCCCCCTGCTCCTTATCTGGCATGATGAGTTGATAACCTCTCCTCTGTGCAGGGTGCCGCTCAGCTGCGCTAACTCACTGCGACATTTGCTTTTCAAAAAGACGCTGCTGTCCATCTGGAAGATGATAGCCAGCCACAGGTGTGTATCTCTGGGGGACAGTTCGTACCGGAAATTATCTGGGGGAAGTTCTCTGGCCTGTGTTATACAGGGGGTCAGACTAGAAGGTCACAATGGTCCCTTCTGGCCTTGGACTTTTTGAATCAGTGAACTGAGGGGAATCATCAGAGCTGAGGTGTGGGGAGCAGGACTGAAGTGTCAGGGGACTGTGGGCTGAGGGCAGTGGCAGAGCTGGGGGGAGTGGGAGACAAGTCCAGGGCTAGAATAGCAGAGGGACTGCAGATTGGGACTGAGGGGCAGCAGCAGAGCTGGGAATGAAACTTCCTGGCCCCTGTCCACACTGTCCCTAACTCTAACCCATGAGGGCAAGAGTAAAATGGATAATTTCTCGCTGGGTTCACCCACATCCGTCTCTGTAGCAGGAATGCCTCCTGCTGCAGGGATGGGACTAACGCGAGGCACTGGCCCTGTATATTCCATCTGATTAACTTGGCAGCCACTGGTTCGAGCAGGAAACGGAGTTCAGATTCCTGCCTTAGCGACCACCAACAGTGAACTCCGAGGTTTCTTGCCATCCTTCCTGTGTTTCCCCTAGGGATTGCTAGTCACTGGCCCCACAATCAACCTTCATGGGCACCAGGGAAGAGGAACAGTGGACCTGCTGCCCCCTCTTCGAGAGTCACGTGAACAGTGGGGGACAAACCTGATTCTCTCCTGCCTCTTTGGGCTTGTCCCTCTAGGTACTGTGGCCCATTCCTGAAGCCGGTGTCAGACAAGCAGGCTCCTGGGTACAAGGATGTGGTGAGAAGGTAGGAAGACTGCTCTAGAGCATTTTCATCTGCTTCCTCTACCTTCCCAGAGCCCCAGCATGTAGAGAGGAAAAAGCTATGGGGCAACTTTGTGTCATCTGCCCATGTTTGTCACCATGGTATCTGCTCCCATCAGGGAACAGGGTGGGAAGGTTCCCTACAGTGTCTTCTCCAAGGCTTAGTCCAAAGCAGTGGGGCTCCCATCCTGCCCCAGCTCTCCTGAGGAGACTCTCCTGTCCCTGAATAGACCTCACTCTTTAGAAACTTTTTCTTATATACAGCCTCCATTTTGCCGTTCAGCATCCATGTTCCTTTTTGAAATGTCACACCTTTGGCGCACCTAAAATACTCCCACTTCCTCCCGTGGGTTTAGACCCTTCAAATACTTTGAAGTTGTTCTTAGCCCCATCCCCTGCTGCGACGCCTCCAGGAACCAGCCAGGCACGGTGGTAGGTGGGGAGAGCTGATTTAATTTATTTTCATAGAAACCCCTTCCAGGTGATTTGGGACCATTGATTTGTGAAGTGACCCTGCAACAGCACCATGTATTATGCCCACCCTCCCCCTTGTTTGTCATTAATGCCAGTTTGTTTGTGAGCTGCTATGGGCAGGACGATGTGTTTGTACAGCACACAGTGCACCAGGGCCCTGTCCTGACGGGGCCTTTACATGCTACAACCAGAATGAGCCAAGCTATGCAAAATTAACGTAGTCCTGCCTCACAAAGCGGGCTCTTCCAGCCCCTGAGCATGGCTGTATTATCACCCAGAGGGGGCTTTCCAAACAAACGGGGCAGGGGCATTCTCAGCTTAGAGTCTGAGCAGTGAACAGCTAGGGTGGGGCAAGACACAGAAAAGGAGCTGTGTGAGAACAGCTTCAGCTACAGCTTCATGGGCTCTTGGATGGCGCAAAGCCTGACTCCCAGGCCCCTAGTGGCATTCGCAGCCCTGAGTTAGATGCCCATGTTAGCCATGCATTGGCTGGGGAGAGCTAGGCACCTCAGAAAGGGAGTCATGGAGCCAGCAAGCTGAGAAGGGTACTGCTGGGGTGAAATTCAGAGGACGGGGATGAGGCTTAGGGCATCGTCTTTACTCAGGCTGCTGAGTTGTGAGCCCTCTCCTGGAGCTAGGTGTTTGAGCCAGATCAGATCTTTCTCATGGTGGGGGAAGATAAAGGGAAACGCACACACCCCTTGTAGCCAAGGGGATAGGAGTGATAGCTCTCACCTGCGCTATAGGGTCCAGGATTCAAGTCACAGCTCCAAATCAGGCAAGCATGGGGATTCAAGCCTGGATCTCCCACATCCCAGGGGAGCACCCTAACTGCTAGGCTACTCACTGTTTGGGGCTGTGTCTCCCACTCTCTCCTGCTGGCAATGTTCTAATTTGTAAGGCTAATTTCTTGGCACATGGACTTGAACCTACCTTTCCCACATTCCAGGTGAGGGCCCTAACCTCTGAGCTATTGGGATACCTGTATCAGCCAATCTGCCCAAAAAACTCTTACCCCAGCAGTCTTTTATGTAGGGTAGGCATATTCAAAGTACACCTACCACATTGAGGTAGGCAGGGGAGTGCCTTGCTGGAGCATGCTGTTGGGGCTTAGGTGTGAGCTAGAGGGCCAACGAGCTTGGTAGTGTCAGGACATACATCCCCATCAGCAGAAACTCAGGTGCCTACCGGGTTAGCAGCAGCAGAGCAGTGGTTCTTTGAGTAGTGTCCTAATGGGTGTTCCACTTCAGGTGCGCATGCGCCTCTCGAGCCCTTGACTGGAGATTTCCATTTGGCCTGCACATGTGCCTCATGCTGCACACCAAGGGTGTATAGGGCTGTGCAGGTGAGCTGCTGTCTCTGTCACCTCGGCCTGGCACAGAGCTCTGGCATGTTCACCTTCTGCCTGCCTCAGCGTGTTCTGCAGTTGTTCTGTTAGCGGTAGTTGTTAATGCATCATTCATTAGCTAGTTGTGAGAGGACTGATGTTTTTCTTCTCCCTTTTTTCCGTGCTTTTTTTTTTTCCCGGGGAGCCTATTTGGCTTGACTGTGCATGCCAGGCTCACCAGGTTTCAGATGCCGCCTCGCCTGTCAGGAGGCTGTTCTGGTCAGCAACGACCACCCTAGATGTATTTATTGCTTGGGAGAGGCGGGACTCTCTCAAAAGTGTAACTTTTGCCTGGCTCTCATAGCTAGAGCACATAAGAATGGGGAGACCAAATTGAGGCTTCTGATGATGATGCATGTCCTGCAGCCCACTTCTGAGTCAGGAGACAACCACACACACACCACACACCCCTCTGACCTTGGCCCAGATGTCCCCTAAGAGGGAGAAGACTTCAGAAGACTCAGCGAAAGCACCAAAGAAGCAGAGCTTGGTCTTCCACTACAAGGAGCTGGCTCCCAAAAGACCCCAATCTCCCATTAAGTCTACAGTGTCGGAGGCCTTGACCTCTTGGTTCAGTATTGTGGAGGCAAAAGACTCTTTCTCCTCGCGTCTCCGGGTCCAGGAGACGCGGCGCACTTTGGAGAAGCATGGGTCCAGCAGGCCCCTGGTACTGTCTCTGAAGGATGGGAGGCCCACGACATATACTTCTCTAGAATGGCACCATCTACATCAGACATAACATCAGTGCCCTCTCACTCGGCACCTTTGGTATCAGGAAAATTGAAATGCCAGACACCTTCAGTCCCGGTGCCAATGCATTCCAGATCAATGGTACCATCCACCTAAATGCCGTGGCACTGACCCACTCAATATTGCAGGAATTACACTACTCTAGGGACTGGTCCATTTTCAACAAGCCAGTGCCCCCACTGCTTAGCGGTACCAGACAGCTCTTGGTACCGAGACCCAGTCTCTGAATTACCATTGTTTCCTGATACTACAAGTGTCTCTGCCTTTTTCTGCTGCCTTCCCCGACCCACACCATTGGAAGACATGGAGGAGGATGAAGGAGACAGTCAGTCAGTTTTGTCTTTAGCAGTGCAGGGTTCCCCTCCTCATCCATACAGGAATCCATACTTCAGTAAGGATCCGCATCCACAACAGGGATGGTGGGATCAGCCCTGGGTGCCACCCCCTCTCCCTTATGCCCCCTCAGTGGCCTGGGATCCTTGGGTGGCATATCGTCAGCAATTTTCTAGACCTCAGGCTCGAATGCACCGAGAGACTAGGGTTACACAGTCTCTTCTACCGAACTCCCAACACGAGGAGACCTTTGAAGAGCAGGAGACTAGAGTGGATAAGGAGGCTGCCCTCAAACCCCTATGTCATCCTCATCTGTGGATGAGGTACTCATGCCTCCACCACCATCAATGGCTGACCATTTTTGCTTTTCCAGGACCTTGTGAAGAGGGTCGCTGACGCCCTTCAGATACCTCTTGAGTCGATTAAACAAGCTCCTGGACATTCTGCAGTCAGCAACATCCACCTGGGTTGCACTACCCATTAATGAACCGCTCCTAGATCCACTGAAGACTGGGCGGCAAACTACTGCTGTCATCCTGCCAATTTGCAAATAGGCAGTTAAGAAACATTGTGTTTCTCCCAGGGACTCAGAATTTTTGTTCTCACACTCTCTGCCTAATTCCCTGATAACAGATGCTGTAAATGAGAGTGGTAAACAGCATTGCTCTAGGTCAGGGGTCGGCAACCTTTGAGAAGTGGTGTGCCAAGTCTTCATTTGTTCACTGTAATTTAAGGTTTCACATGCCAGGGCCGATGGCTGGAACCCCAGACTAGCAGCGAGCTGAGCGGGGCCGGCAGCCGGGACCCTGGCTGGCAGGGGCCAGCGGATGGAACCCCAGACCGGCAGTGGACTCAGCCGCTCAGCCTGCTGCCAGTCTGGGGTTCCAGCCGTCGGCCTCACTCAGCCCGCTGCCGGCCATGGATTCCGTTCAGCCAGTCAAGCAGGGGGCTGAATGGGGCCGGCAGCCAGGACCCCGGCTGGCAGCAGAGTGCCACTAAAAATCAGCTCGTGTGCCGCCTTTGGCACGCATGCCGCAGGTTGCCGACCCCTGCTCTAGGTCTACCCTTTATGATAAAGACCAGAAGAGGTTAGATCTTTCTGGCCTAAAGACTTACTCATCCATGACCCTCCAGATTCGTATCGCAAACTATCAGATGATCATGGCCAAGTACGACATCATGAATTACAACTAATTTGCAGCCTTTATTGAACATCTTCCACAGGAACATAGAGAACTCGTTCAGGCCATCATCAGGAAATGTCAGTGATTAGCCAGAACCTCTCCAAGTGTCCTTAGATGCTTCGGACACGACCGCCAGATCCATCTCCACAGCAGTTGTTATGCACAGGGTTTCATGGCTGCATCTATCAGGGTTTTCGAGAGCGGTTCAGAATACTGGTGAGGACTTTCCATTTGATGGTCAGAAGCTCTTCTCGAAAACTACAGGGCCACACTGGGGTCTCTGGACATATATACCCCTATGAACAAGAGATTTAGCAGGTCTCAGAATGCCCAGAGATTGTGCCCTGCCCAGTTCTCTGGATTTCACAGAACTGCCGAACCCACTAGAAAGATTCCAGAGGAGGAGAGTTCCTCACTCTCCTTCATCGAGTACCCAGTCATCATCAAAACAATCATTTTGACAGGTCAATGGAGGGTTCAATTCTGCCCTCACCTCTAGTTTGCAAGCTACAACCTTTTGGCCTCCGCCCCACTTTTGGAGACCATCTTTCCCATTTGTAACAGACTTGGCAGCATATTACAAGAGACAAGGGGTCATGGAAGTTATAACATCAGATTACACCATCCACTTTACATCCCTTCTTCCCTCCCATCCCCCTTCCTTATCCCTCTTCAGGGACCCCTCTTACGAGACCACATTGAGTCAAGAAGTGCACTGTCTCCTTTGTTTAGGAGTGATAGAGCAGCTCCCATTTCCTCGCAGGGGGCAAGTTTTTCACTCAAAGTATTTTCTCATACAGAGGGTGGAGACTGATCTTAGATCTAAGTTGACTGAACAAATGTGTGACATCTCAGAAGTTCAGGATGGTGACTTTGGCAACTATAAGTCCTTCTCTGGAGATAGGAGATTGCTTTTTGGCCCTTGACCTGCAAAACACCTATTTCCATATAGTGATTCACGCTGCTCACAGGAAATACCTACATTTTACCATGGGCGAGGAGTATTTTCAATACCATGTACTTCCCTTGGGCCCCAAGGGTGTTCTCAAAGGTTCTAGTAATAGTAACTGCTTACCTTCAGTGACAGGCAATTTTAGACTTCCTGTGTCTCGATAACGGGCTACTCAAGGGCCGATCTTACACAGCAGTGTGGACCTCCACCCAGACAGCTCTTGCTCTTTTCCAGGACTTGGGTCTCCAGCTAAATGTAAAAAAAAATTTATGTTAGTTCCAGTACAGAAAATACAATTCATAAGGGCATACTTGGATTCATTAGCAGCCAGAACCTTCCTTCCTGTGAATGGATTCATAACCTAGGCAAATCTGTGATAATTCAAGGAAGACTCCAAACTACTATAAGGAACTATTTACAACTTCGAAATCATATGGCAGCTTGCATCTTTTAACTAAACATGGAAGATTACACCACCACTGCTTTCAGGGCTGGTTCAGAAGGTTCTATTCCTCAACCAGAGACAGCTTTGGACAAACAGGTCACAGTTCCCCTCCAGGTAAAGGACTCCCTACACTGGTGGAAAAAATCAACTCAGTGCCTGAGTGGCCATCCCTTTCATCCGCTCCGCTCCATTGATAACTGTGACGATGGACACGTCACTGTGAGGGTGGGAAGCAGACATCAGTACCCTTACAACTCAGGGCAGATAGTGATCTAAGTAAACAGGTCTTCATATCAACCTGTTGGAACTCAGGGCAGTCAGGAATGCCTGCTTTCAGTTCTGATGCTTCATTGGGGCAAATCAATCAGGATCATGACAGAAAGTGTGGGTTGCATATTCTGTATCAACAAATGGGGAGGTGCAAGATCCCTTTCCCTGTGTGTCAAAGCTATAAAGTTGTGGAACTGGTGTATAGCCCATCAGATTCTTCTTCAAGAAGTGTCCCTGTGGGTGCTGCACTGTAGATGTGTCTGCGTCTCTGCTCTGCTGTCTGGGAGAGAACCACATAAGTGTGGCTTATGTCAACAACTGAAGCTGAGGTGCAGAAAGGCTAGAGAACTGAGACTTAAGCTTCTCCTAATGGAGGTGCCCCTTCAACCACAAAGCCTGGTTCCTTCATGATTCCAGCACATAGAATCACACTGCTCTGAAGAGGTACAGGAAGTGTTATTACACAGCAGGAAAATGACTACCCAGCAACCTTACCTACAAAAGTGGACCAGATTTCGAATTTGGTGCCAGCCCATAGGAGTCACTCCGGATACGGCCACTCTACCTGTAATCTTAGATTACTTGCTGAATCTCAAGATATTGGGACTCATTAGCTCGCTATAAGTACACTTAACAGCAGTAGCAACCTTCCACCAGCAAATAGAAGGGACTCAATTTTCTCCCGCCTGACAACAAAGAGGTTTCTCAAAGGCCTAGCGAACCTCTTTCCCCAACCCAGGCTTCCTACCCCACAATGGGATCTCAGTCTACTTTTAAAAGGACTATACCGCCCTTTGAACCCATGGACACTTGTTCTCTGACTCACCTTTTCATGAAGACGGTGTTCCTGATCGCCATCACCTCAGCAAGAAGGATTGGGGAGATAGTGGCTCTGATGGCGCATCCACCCTTCACAGTGTTCTTCCATGGCAAAGTCACCCTCAGACCACATCTGAAGTTCACCCCCAAAACGACTTGAGCATTTCACATAGACCAGCTCATTCACTTTCTGACCTTTTATCCCAAATCTCATCAGGATAATAGGGAAGCCATCCTCCATACACTTAACATAAAGAGACCCTTGGACTTCTATTTGGACAGGACAAAAACTTTATAAAATCTCCGAGACTCTTCCTCTCTATCATGGACATGTCTAAAGGCACGCAATTTCAGCTCAAAGACTCTCCAAATGGGTCTCAAACTGGATCAAACTCTTATCAGATTCGTAATTTAGCACCTCCATCCACAGTCCACACACACGCTACGACATCAGTTTCCTCGTCTGTCGCCTTCTCCAAGGGTATCCCTATATCCAAAATATGCAGAGCAGCTACCTGGGCATCTGCACATTCCTTTGCAGAACACTATGCCATCCTGAGGGACTCTGCTGCAGTCAGATGCCAGATTTGGTGCCATGGTGCTATTAGCTATAGTAGACTCAACTCTGAAGCCCCAGCCTCCAGTGCGGGATACTGCTCAGGAATCACCTCAGTGGAGCATCCACAGGGACGCTACTTGACGAAGAAGAGGAAGTTACTCACATAGGGACACACATCTCAAAGAACCATCGCTGCTGCACAAGGTGAGTAACTTCTTCATATCTCAGTCATTTACCTTCCTGGAATCCAGAATGTCACAGACAATATGATCAGCAGGCACTTCTCCCAGGACTACAAATGGGAGCTGGACTCTCAAATTCTTCACAGGATATTCAAATCTGGGTCCCTTTATGGTTGCACCCTAAATTCTTACCTAAAGTATTGGTGGATTTTCATCTTAACCAAGGTATTCGTCTACCAGTGTTTTCCCCAAACGATGTAAATCTCAGCATGAAACATCTATTCATACTTTAGATGTTAGATGGGCACTGGCCTTTTATCTAGATAGGACCAAGCTATTTTGGAAATCACCTAGACTGACTCCAGCACAGAAAGACCAAGTGGTTCACAATCTTTACGCAGAGATTTTGAGATGGCGCTTTGGGTGTGTGGTCGCTTGCTACAATGCAGATGGTGGTCTGCCTCCTACCCCAAAGGATAAAAGCACCCTCTGGCCAATCACAGGCAACTTCCACCACTTGGCTCAAAAACACTCTGAGATATGCCCAGCTGCTACTGGGCTTCAGTGTATACTTGGTCTAAACACTTGGTCCACAGCATCAGAGCTGATGTGGCACTTGGTCCTCCTGTACTGCTTCAGCCTTGGACTCCGTTCTGAAGCGCCCTCTTCCCTGTGGGGTGCTGCTCAGGAAGCACCTGAAGTGGGGCACCCGTGGGGACACTACTCAGAGAAGGGGAGTATGCCTGTGCAGTAATGGTAGTTCTGTGAGATGTGTCCCCCTGTGGGTGCCCCACTACCCACCCTCCTTCCCCTCTTTCTTGGGCAGTCAGAGAAGGAACTGGGGCAGTTCGCCCGTGCAGCCCTATAGTCCCTCAGTGTGCAGCACAAGATTGTACAGAGTGCATGTGTGGGCCGACCATACACTGCTAATGGAAAAGCTCTGGTCAAGGGTTTGCAAGACTCCTGCATAGCTGAAGAGGCACACACATAGGGGGACATATCTCAAAGAACAACAATCACTGCACAGAGTGAGTGACCTTTTTTGCTGTGACATTCAGTGGTGCCTAGGTGTTGGACTTAGGCACCCAAAGTCCCTTTGTGAATCTAGCCTTTTGTCCAAGACTTGTTTTACACTCTCTCACCCCCTCACTGCGTCAGCATATGGTTGCGCTTCTCTGTGCTCCCTCCAGTTTGTCTGGAGTTCTAGTAATGTGTGCCGAGCTCTGACAGCACTACTCCAAGGGCAGGCTCCAGGGCTGCATGGGGAGGGCCACGTACAGGCTGCCCTGGAATTGCACTGATGTTGTTGTATCATCATATTGTGTTGTAAACTTGTCTCATTTGCAGTTCTCCTCTCCTTAGTCTCCCAATCACTCCCGTTTTGCAAGGTTCCCCTTGCAAAGTGAAAAAGGAAAAGGAGGACTTGTGGCATCTTAGAGACTAACCAATTTATCTGAGCATAAGCTTTCATGAGCTGTAGCTCACGAAAGCTTATGCTCAAATAAATTGGTTAGTCTCTGAGGTGCCACAAGTACTCCTTTTCTTTTTGCGAATACAGACTAACACGGCTGTTACTCTGAAACCTTGCAAAGTGAGGAGCTGAGTTTCAGATCCTTTTTCCCCCAGATGGATTAAGTACATTTTTTAAAGATGATGCTCATTCTATTTCTGGCCCGTGTTTCTAATCACGGTCATCCTCTTCCACCTCCTGCTTCACCCATCAATTCTGTAATGATTTCAAAAGAAAGTAAATAAGATTTAGTCCTTATAACACACCCCCTCACCACCACTGCTTTTTCCCTTGGGACCATTAGATTCTCGTTCTTTATAGATATTTTTCTTAACATGTGCCATTTTCAATCACAAGAGAATTGGGGTTGATTTGACAGGTGCTAATTACCAGGATCACGCCTCTTTCCTTTTCTGCTCAGTGTCACATTTGGCTTTTCAGAAATAATTGCTAGTGGCTTGGCAAGTTAATTAGCTGTGTGATATAGATCACCCAAATCCGCAGTTTCTTTCCAGCTTTCTTAAGCTCTTGCCATTTTCCTCTTGAGAACTGGGCCTAAGCATTCCAGTGTTTGGGGCTGCAGGGAAACAAAAATGAGACCTCCGTCTCAGGGAGAGGGTGCCCACCCCCATCCAGGCAAGGTTAGGGCAGTCCTTAGGTATGTACAGTTGAGTTTCATGCCTCCTTCCAGACCCATGGATTTAACCAACATAAAGAGGCGCCTGTCCAAGGGCCAGATCTGGACCACAGCCCAATTCCAGCGGGACCTCATGCTGATGTTCCAGAATGCAGTGATGTATAACAGCTCTGACCATCACGTGCACCGCATGGCTGTGGAGATGCAGCGAGATGTCCTGGAGCAGCTTCAGCTGCTGGGTGAGGCCCTCCTGTGCTCAGAGGAGAGGCTGGGCTTTGGGAGGATGTAGGAAGACGGTCAGATGAGGGGCCAGTTTTGGGGGGTAGTACCCTCCCCCAGCACTCTTCCAGACCCTGTTCCCCTGCCCTGCACTAGCAACCATTTCTCACAGCCCAGGAAGATGGATTAAAAAAACTAAATGCAATTTCTAGATTCCTGGGGCCTCCTCTGCCCTGGAAAGGACATCCCCTTCCTTGGCTTGGGGTGGGGCCGAGCACACACTCCCTGAGCTGGATGCCTCCTTCCTTGGCTGGGGTGGTGGTGATGTTCCCAAGGGTTGGGGACCTTTCCCAGGCCAGTAAAGAAAGATGGTGTCCCCAAAGAAATGAGCTGTATAGCCCTTGGTCCCTTTAAGAGTTCCTGTGATGGGCGTCTGTACCTCTGTCCCTGATTCATTGTTTAGCACAGTGGAGAATGAGGAAGGAAGGGTGTATTGGAAGACTCTGTCAGTCTGCATAGTTGAAAGGACAATACCAAAATTGGCAGAGGCAGAGCTATGCAGACTGTTCGTGAAATGCAGGCTCTGAGTAAGGTAATTTAAGCCTTTGAAAGGTGGCTGTTATGGCTCTTTGTTTCTACAATGTAATCCCTGTAATGAGGACATGAGGGGGAAAAACTACAAGGCCTTTAAAAATCTCTTTAACCTGAGGTCACACACACTGAAGTGCCTTAATCATAATCATATGGCTACTGCATGATGTCACCACAGGGCAGAGTTAAGGTTGTTTAATGGTGCTTTTCCATCCCTTAACACATTTGGATTTAAGTGTAATCTAAACTTGAATTTCCTGGGTTTGTAATGTTTGGTTTGGGGATCATTACAACAGCTCTGTAAATGTTTTTACCCTTCCAGCACCGGTATGTGTGCTTGCTTTTAACTGCATTTTTGGCTTGGAATCTAAGTCCGCTTGTAAACAGGGTAAAGCCTCTGCTTTTATTTCCATTTTCTCTGCTTTTAATAAATCTTGTGTGTGTGAAGTTGTGGTAGTCTCACACAGTTGTCCCCAGAAAGAACTCCTTAACTGCTAGAGGGGGAAGTGTCTGGAACTTGCACGTGCCCCAGACTCAGCCCAGAGGTCCCATCCCAGCCAGCTACTGCCACGAGACCTCCCAGGGAGAGAGGCTTTGCAGTGCTTCAGGGCTTGTTCCCTGCCTTAGTCCGTCCTCCCTGCAGGTGCTGAGGAGCCAGAGAGACCGGGCTGGGGTGAGGAGCTGGAGTCCAGACTTGACGCCTGAATTCCGTTCCGGTGAAAAGCCTGGCTGGTGTCCAGAGGTTAGGGAATCTGGTCCCGATCTGGATTCGCCCTGGGCCTGGGGCCGCTCCCTGGCACCCCCCACCCGGGCCCGCTCCCTGCCATCCCCGCCGGGCCTGGCGCCTCCCCCGCCGGGTGCGTGGCCCGGTTGCGGCGGGGCGCTGGTAGCCCGGGCTGCAGCTGCGGGCTTGCAGCCAGAACCCGGGCCGGGCCGGGCCGGGCCGGGGAGACCCGGGGGGCACGCGCACGGACGTGGCTCCAGCAGGCGCGTGTCTCTGAGGCGCGGGACGGTCACGCGCCTCCCTTCTTCCCGCAGGCGCGGCACGTGGGACCGCGCCGCCAGGCCGCCGCCGCGAGGGGCGGGGCACCCAAGGGAGGGCTGTTATTGGCTGGGGTGGAGGCGGGCGGAGTCTGTAACCGGGCCCTTCCCAGGGCGCCCCGCGCGCGTGCGGAAGTGGAGCCCGGGGCGGGCCACGTGTCTGTCGATCATGGCCCGGGAGAAGTCGCTGGAGCCGGAGGCGGCGCCGGAGCCCGAAGTGGCGCCGGAGCGATCGTACCAGGAGCTGCTGGGGAACCTGAACCCGATCGCGCGGCCGCTGGCCTCCCGCAGGCTCACCCGCAAGCTCTACAAGTGCATCAAGAAAGGTGGGGCCGGGGCCGGGGCCGGGGCCGGGCCCTGCGGGGGGGGCCGGGCCCTGCGGGGGGGGGCCGGGGCCTGCGGGGGGGCCCTGCGGGGGGGGGGCCGGGCCCTGCGGGAGAACCGCCGCGGGAACGAGACAGAGTCCCGTGCACGGGCCTGGGGAGCGGGGCCGGAGCGGGAGCCCCGCGGAGCCCGTGCTGAATCTGATGGCCGCTTATTTCTCTTCCAGCGGCGAAACACAAGCAGATCCGGCGGGGAGTAAAGGAAGTTCAGAAATTCATCAACAAGGGCGAGAAGGGGTAAGAACCCAGCAGCCCAGCTGCAGCCACCCCCAAAGCTGGGCCCTGCGGTATCTGCCGGCAAGACAGGCGCTGGCCGGGGCCGAAGGACCAGAGCCGTGGGTTCTCCGCTCCGAGAGCACAGGCCTGTGGCATCGTCCCGGGTAGGCTGCGTCCCACGGCCGGATACGCTTTGCTGGGGCACCGGCAATGCTGGCCCCGGCCCCGGCCCCCTTCGTGACCAGTCACCGCCTCCTCAGCGCTTCTCGACGGGCACGTTCCGGTTCCCATCTCCCTGTCCACCGCTACTGATAAGTCGTCTCTCTCTGCTGTTTCAGGATCATAGTCCTTGCTGGAGACACGCTGCCCATTGAAGTTTATTGCCACCTCCCCGTCATGTGTGAAGACAGGTCCCTCCCCTACGCTTACATCCCCTCCAAGTCGGTAAGCTCAGGGGGCTCTCAGGAGTTGGGGGAATCTCCCCTTCGTGGGCACCAAGAGGGCATGAAACATTCCAGCAGGATAACAAGCTGTGGCTTAGGTGGTGCCTCCTTCCTCCCTCCCCGCTTTCTCTTTTTGGTGCTAAGAAGCTCTTGCCCAGGGCATAAAACCCAGGTCTTTGCTGCTCCTCCCCCATTCCCAAAGTCAGACTGAACACACGGGTGTCACTTGGCCTCCTGCACAACTCCCTAAAATCGACCATTTGAGCTAAGGGATCCCTAGCGGTGACACTCTATGGGCTGTTTGTCATCCTGCTTCAAGGGTGGGGCTGAAGGCGGGTCACTGCCTAACACTGAAGCTGTTATTTTGGCAGAGGTAACACAGCCAGGCAAATGCTTTGAGCTGCCTGGGGTAATACTGTGAAGTGTGTTCTAGTCAAAGAGCTTTCATCTTTGTTCCTAAAGCATCCAGTTTTCCCCGCTGCAGCCAGGAGATATCTATGTTCTGTTCTCGTCTGGCAGGTCCTTTAAATTGTCCAAATAGCAAAATAAAAAAAACCCCAACGGGAGCCCTGCACAATCTTCTCTAAGGGGGTGTCTCCAACTGGCATCCTTAGGGCTTTAATATTCCTCCGACCTGGCAAGACATTGGCCCTGCTGACTTCATGCCATCCTTGCAGAGTACTGCTGGGCCCCATCAGGCCAGGTGCTGGATGTTTCTGGATCAGTAAGGACAGGCTGTGGGAGGAGTTGGGGAAGATAAGAAGTCCTTCTAACGCAGCCGTTCCCAAATGGGGTCGTGCCCTGAGCAGATGGGGCCTGGCATTCCCTACTGTGCAACGGATGCTGTCTTGCTCTACACAGCGTGACCTCTCCTCTGGTGTGTGCAAGGTCACGGCAGATGGATAATGCCATTTTGTTCTGTGAAATGGCTTGCTAAGCACAGCATGACCTCACACGCCACACAGCTACGAGGTCACGCTGCGTGGAGGATGCCATTTTGTGCTTCAGAATTAGGTACTCTGTACCCTCTGAGGTCCCAGAAGGAAATAATTCAAATGGGGTTGTCCCACAAAAAGTTTGGGACCCCTTGCTCTAATCTGGGGGGGCGGGAGGGTGAGAGACTGCTCAGTTGTGGGAAGGTTGCTTTACAATTTGGTTCAGTCACTTGGGGGTGGGGGTGACCGTAGGGTCAGGGGAGCCATACTTTCCCCTGTGGGGTGGAGTGCAGGGGTCTGCTCTCCTCCACAGAGGAGTGGTAGGATTCCCACTCCCCCCAGTGGGTGGAGGTCACCAGCAGCTTTCCTGGGCATCTCTGATATCCTCTTCCTCTTGTTCAGGATCTGGGAGCAGCTGGCGGCTCAAAGCGCCCAACCTGTGTGATAATGATCAAGCCACATGAGGAGTACCAGGAGGCATATAAGGAGTGTTGGGAGGAGGTTGTGTCTCTTCCTGTCCCCCTGTGAAGGACATGGGGAGTGCCTGCTCTGGAGCTTCTGGAAGGCTGGGCCTGCACTGCCCCAGCAATATTCGGTGGCCTCCGAGGACTTTACAAAATGAAATGTGAGCTGGTCCTGCAGCTACTTGCTGGGTGCTCAGTGTGCGGGAGAGGGGGCTGCATGGACCCTGGGCTTTTTATCTTTAACCAAAAAAAACCTGTTCTGAAATAATTGAGTAGCAGCTGCTGAGGTTGGGGGCAGATGGTGACTGACCTCCCCCTTGAAGGGAGGGGGACAGCAGGCTTACTGGACAGGCTAGCATTCCTGTGGGGGAAGAGTCCATGCCATGAGCATCAAGTCAGACCTGTTCTGTGATGGATGAAATAAATGTATTTGTACAGCTGTTTGCTGTGGGTTTTAGTAAAGCAGCTAGGCCAGTGTCGGTGGCACCCTGGCTTTAAGGCTACATCAGAGCATGAGGCCACTGCTCCAGCATCAGCAGGGCTGGGCCTGAAGGCTAGATAATGGGGGAGGAACAGGGATGACTGTGTAGAAGTGACATTGACAGCGCAGAAACCACTTTCTTTCTGGCCCACCAGCGTTTGCCCTGGAATAAATAGAGGCCATTCTGGGTGTAGACGGGGCTGGAGAGGGTTGGTGTCCCGTTCAGTTCAGTCCAGCCCAGCCCCAGCTAGGTGGGAACCATTGTGTTTGGGGCCTGTGTTAGGAGGCAAAGTGGAGCCTGGGCTCAGTGAACAAAAGGCTACAGTGAAATTGACTAAATGAATGTAAGGCAGGACCTGTGCCTAGCTACTGCACCATGCACTCCCCAACCATGGCACATGGCTGCCTGGTGGCCTCTCTCTGCATCAAAAATATCAGCCTCTTGCAGGATCACGGGGGGGAGAGGAATTTGGACTCATGTCCTTGGGGGCCGCTGCTTATGACCAGTCCCCACAACCCTTGGCTATGCCCAGCCTGCTGAGGGGGGTGGAGATGTATTGAAGTCTCGGACACATTTCTTCTCCCCCCTTACCACTGGTGGGGAGATGGCTCCAGCATGTGGGGTGTCTGCCAGGCAGTGGGGCTGGGGTCTCAGCACTGCAGTCAGCCACGCATGATGTGACTGTGCAGCATTGTGACACGTATTGATTCTATCCTAGTTGGTGCAAAAAAAACCCTCCCTCCTTTCCTGCCGTTGCCCCAGTGTGCCCCACTACAGTGCTGGCTGGTCTAGGGGCAAACTGGAATGACGACAATTTATGAACCACCCCAGCCTCTGATTCAGCTGGGTCCAAAGAGCAGCAGAACCCAGGGGTGAGGTACTGACCAACTACGGGGCACCTTGTACCAGGGAGCAGCACTCTCTGCACTCTGAGAAACTGATTGCTCTGCTGTTAGCAGCAGGTACTGGTGGCTATCCTGGATGTATAGGCTCGACCCCCACCACTACTGGACTCCATCCTTCACCGCCAGGTTTGGGTGATGGGAGACAGGGCTGCAGAGCTACTGCTGTCCTCATGCTCACACTGCAGAGTCAAGGCCAGGCTCCCAGCCTAGTCTCTGCTGGCCAGGCCAGCCTTGCCCCAAGAACAGCCCCAGCACCCTGAGCTCTAGACTAAATTGGCCAGGTGTAGCCATGCCCCACTTCTGTACACTCTGCAGCCTTTGAGACTGCCTCTGGGGCAGAACCAAAGGTGCCCAAGCCAGGGCACACTCAGGCTGCAGCTACACAAGGCAGTGAAACATTTCTCATTTCTGTACATAGCTCAGTGCAGCTGCAGTGCTCAGATGAACGAAACCCTCGGTCGAGATGCAGCTAGGACAACAGAAGAATTGTTCCATTAACCTAATTCCTGCTGCTCGGGGAGGTAAATTAGGCACAGAAAAACCCGCCATTGCTGTAGCAAGTGCTTATGTTATGGCACCCCAGCGGCACAGCCCTTGATACCATCTGCTCATCAACAGGGCAGTAGTAAGTACCAGCAGGGAAGTCACCGTGAGCTGGAAGGCCCAGTATTACAATGGCAGCTGCAGTGCCCGGGCGCCTGCAAGTAACGCCCCTGCAGCCCTAAGCATGCGCGGAAATGCTGTGTGCCTAGAAGCCGGAAAGCCACTGGAGGCTAAGGAAACGATTGCTCTGCACTCAGCAGTGGCAGGCCTAGAAGCCCCAGCTGTACACACTGCATCCCATGCAGATGGTGGGGCAGGCAGGAAAGGGGTGCATAAATAATGAAAATGTTTGAGGATCAGTGTGTCCCTAGAAAACATGTTACTTGGGAAAGAGCTATTCAGGCTAAGAACACAGCAAAGGGAAAACAGAGGGATTTGTCACAAGACTAATTTTAAGTTAGTCCTGTGAATAAACGCTCAAAGACTAGATCGTCCCGCTTGTAACAAAAAGTGAGTCTGAACGATTACTAAGTATGATGGCTCTGACATGCCAAGCAGCAGAATGTACACAAAAGATGCCGAAAGAAAGGCACAGAGCATGTGACTGAATACCATAGTGAAATCAGCAAGGCAAAAGGTCACAGAAATTAAAATTGGACGAGGACAGAAAAATGGAAGCAGAAAATGACGTCAGTGATTTGGAAACCAGCATGAGTAAAAGAAATGGCCAGGATTCAGGCACTTGGTCAATGATTTAAAGCCCATTCAGACTTCATCTTCAGTGCTGTGATATTTTGCCCCATCTACAGAGATGCTTCAAAAGGAAGGCTGGGTGTGTCAGGGGACTGACTGGTTGCCAGTCTTTTATGCATCCAGGGGTATGACAGCCGCAGAGAGGCTGTATACACACAGAGAGCCACTAGGTCTGGCATATTTCACTACTTTCTCTAGTGTTGTAGCTTCAAAGTAAAAACTGACCACAAATCACTGATTGCAATACACATAAAGAGACTTGAAAAGCATCACCAAGGATACTGAACCCTGAGGGGGGATCCAATCACACTTCAAAGCTGTGAAAGGCTATTATAAACAGGACAGGGATCAGTTCTCCATGTCCACTGAAGGTAGGACCACAAGAAATGGCATAATCTGCAGCAAGGGAGATTTAGGTTAGATATTAGGAAAAACTTCCTAACTAGGCTTCGTGAGAAGGTTGTGGAATCCCCAGCATTGGGGGGTTTTGAAACCAGGTTGGACAAACACCTGCCAGGAATGGTCCAGATTTACTTGGGCCTCTCTCAATGCAGGGGGCTAGACTTGATGGCCTCAAAGTCCCTTCCAGCCCCACATTTCTCTGATCCTTCGGAATACTCAATTAGCAGCTATAGGACAAACAAAAGACGACTAAGGAGTCTGGGAAAGTGAGGCAAAGCCTACCCCACTTAAACACAAAGATTGGAGAGAGAGTGGCAAGATGGGCACTGGCCAGTCAAAGCAGCAGCGACCAAAGAAGAGTCACCTTAGATTCAGTGAGTACAGTCAAAGCAAAATCTTACCCCGGAATTGTAAGCATCTGCCATGATACCCAACAATGTGGCCACGACAAGTGAAGTGAGAGCAGACACAAGATGGAAACAAGCCACAAACTGACCATGAGGTGGACCAGCCTTACAGACCAGGGCTTGCCCAAAGAGAGGTTGCAGATGGGGAAGACTGCTGAAATGCCCTCAGGGACAGAGTGAGACGTATTAAGTGTTAAAGCAACCTGAAGGTGGTTAAATCAGTACTGTATTGGTTTTAGTTTAAAGATAACAGTGTTTTAGTTCAGTAAAGAGATCTAAAAGAGGGACCACATGCTATAGAATAAATTCTCCAGGACGGCTAGCCATGCCACACTCCTGTACACTTTATCCAGTCTTTGGTTTCCCCGTGATCCCTCCGGCTGGGGAAGAACCAAAGGAGCCTAGGACAGGGCAGTCACAGTAGAACGTTTGTTACCTGGTTCTGTTTAGAATAAAAGGTTTATCTCAACACTGGTCTGCTTGTCATAAAGCTGCTACCCCACCCCCAGACTTAGTGTCCTGGAGCCCCCATGTGCCCCCTCCCATTCTGTCTCCTTACACCCCCTCTACATGCCCCCCACCTCACCCCTCCATTTTTCAGCTCTAACAGCAGCTCTTCCCCCTCACTTCTGTGCCCTATTTCATAGGCTGATGCAGGGGAGGCGGGAGAACAGTCCCAGAGGGACAGCTAGCCCCAGCCCCCACATCAGAAAGCGGGTCCCCTCTTACAGTGGGGTTCATGTCATCTTTGGGCCCAAGCTGTTAAGGACCCAGCCCTCCTTTCTCCCAAGGCGCTCAGAGAGCAAGGGGGAAAGACTAACAGGCTTTATTTTCTGGAATTTATAAAATGGCTCCAGGCAGCTCCCACTTTAATATTTACAATGCAAAAAATATCAGTAAATGCACAAGGGACTGTACAGCATGGCCATTGCACTGGCAGAGGGCTAGGAATGCTCCCGTAGCCATGTTTGAGGCCAGGAGGGGCTCTGCCTATTACTGAGCAGAAAGACAGCTGCCCAGCAGGCTAGACCGACAGGACGGGAGCACAGAGTGAGCAGGGCAGCGTAAGCCAGATCACTAGGAGAGCACACACTGAGGCCTCCCGGAGCTCACCGCAGCAAGCACGTCACACTGCTGCTCTGTCCATTTCAGCTCCCTTTCTCAGGTGGCGGTCAGGCTCAGGTCCACTGCTCTGGACTTTGCCCTAGCTCTGCAGGAGGAAGGGACCCCAATGGGGCTGCAGTGGACAGAGCTGCTCTCAGACCCACAGCCTAAGAGGCAGCCCACGCCCTGCTGTGGGCAGCACCACCGCCTCTCGCACTGCGAGGGTGGGACAGGCCACCTAAGGGGAAGAGCAGTGACCTGTTGCCACAGCCCTTCCAACCACACCAGCGTCAGAAGATGATGCGCTTCCCATCAGCTGGGTTCTGCTCCATGGGGCAGTAGGGACACTTCAGCCTGAGGAGAGGTCCAGAGACAAAGGCATCAGGTGGGAAGGCCGGGGAACACAGAGAAAATGGTAGAGCTCTGGGGCACTGCAGGGCCGACGGCAGCAGAAGTCTGCCCCTCCCGTCACAGCCCAGTCCCCAAGGCTCAGTCTAAGGAAGGCCTGGCATCCCCCAGGGGCACAGGGTTGGCCATGGGCAGGCAGCAGCACTGCGTGTGCACCCTACTTCCCAGCACCAGAGATAACAAGCCCTGCTCATCAGCATCCACGGCACCCAGCCCGTTCAGGCTCACTGCAACCTGCAGCACCGAGCTGCAGGAGAGCAGGGGGGCTGGGGAAGGTGAACTGGCCCAGACTAGCACAAGGGCAGCCAGGAACCCTGGCGGTACAGTGCACAGGCCAAGGGATCTTCAGAGCACTCACACTCCCATGGCACCAGGCTGCATCACACAAAGTGATGCCAGGCGAAGGCCCAGCCTGCGGGACAGGGGCTGCAGGGCAGAGGTGGGTCAGGGTCCACGGGTGAGCGTCAAGAAACCAAACTTACTTCCCCCCATTGATGAGCTTGTTGAGCGCGTCCCGGGAGATGACATGCCCGCAGATGAGTTTGATAGGCGGATTGGAGTCAGTTGTCTGCTGGCGAAGGATGGGGCAGGCAAACACTGAGTGGTACCAGCACTTCATGCCCAGCTCAATTTCAATCTGCCAAGAGAGCACAGGGAGGTCAGCCCCACTGCCCCACCCCACCCCGCCGCCCCACGAGATGACACTTACAGGCAGCTCATCCTTGTGGCTCCAGACACCTGTGCATTGTCTCTGCTCAATCACTGCCTTGATGTTCATCAGCACGGGCAGTGCCACACATCCGGACGCAAAGCTGCATGAGAGGGAAACGCCTTAGAACTTGGTGGTACTGCTAAGGGGGGCCCCACAGGGTAGGCCTGGGGCTTACCTGACACTGAGAGGGGATTCCACCGAGAGTCCCAGCAAGGCACAGGCGTCGCGGGTGAAGGTCTCGCAGATCTCTGTCCAATGCCGGGCATCCAGCAGGTGGCAGTACGGGGAGTTCTCAATGCCCAGAGGCAGGTACACCAGGCTGCCCATCATGACCTGGATCTCTGAACAAAACAACACCCTGGTTGGCCTCAAGAAGCAACGTGGCCACAACCCCCGACCCTGTCCTATCAGTGCCTCCAGGATGGGGCCCCCTGTAGCCTGGGAACGGGGCTACCCAGTGGACAGTTCCGTGCCCCACTCGGGAGGCCAGTGGCAGGGCCCCACCTGGCACAGTCTCACCTCGCTGGTGCAGGCGGGCAAAGGGCTGGAAGTGGCGAGCGTAGCTCAGGGCCTCCAGTTGCTTGTCAGGGCCACCAGCCAGGAGCCGGATGAAGTGGAGACGATGCAGCTTGAATTCCAGGGAGCTGTTCAGCTCCAGCAGATGCTGCCTGTTTGAGATTGCCCAGCTGGATAGGAAAGAACAGGGGGCAGCTAAGTCCTGACTGTCTGGGGAAGGTGGGCCAGGACAGCCAGGAAGTTCTCGCTGATGCCCAACCTGACAAGACGAGGGTGGGGTTGTTCCCATTCCTGGAGACTGTTCTGTGTGAAATGCCCCTGGCCGGGCTGGCCTAGAGGGCTCCTTTCCCTCCAGTGTCTGTAATTCCAGGGACTACCCAGGTAGCACCAGAGTCAGCTGGGGTGAAAAAAGGAACATAAGTGGCTCATGGGCAAGAGGATGTGTGTCAGGCCCTGCACATGGCACTGCCCCAGGAGGGCTGGTTGGGGTGTTAAGGAGCATTGTGCTTGTAGGCCTCATTCTGACTGGGATGCAAGGTGCAAGGAGCATGCTCCAGCAGGCAGGGTGAGTGCGATCATCACATGTTAGCTGGGGTGCACCGTGCTCCCTCTTGACCAGCCAAAGCACCTCATACCCCAACCCAGACTCGGTGCATGAGTCAAGCAGAAGGGGAGGGGCCACTTTCAGTAAGGATGCGGAGGCTATGGGCAAGGAGGAGCACTGGGATGCTCAGCGCTCCCAGATGATTGGTTCTTACTCCAGAGCTGGACGCAGGTCCTGCTTGTGCAGCGCTTCCAGGATCCGGTTCAGCTCCAAGAACGGCTGCTTGAAGTCCAAGTCCACATTCAGGGTGGACTCCTGTGGAGAATGAGAGCCAGTGGTCACATCCCACCAGCTTCTTGGGGAGGGCGGCATACAGCAGGCAGCACCGGGGCGGAGGGGTGGTGCCAGGAGAGGCTCCCCAGCCAGAGATGGGCGAGGTTTCCTACCCTGCATGATGGAGAGAGGCCCTCCTCCTTGGAGCACAGAACACATGCAGGGGAGCAGCAGACTTGGCAGCCGCAATTCGGTCCCTGCAGAGCTGGGGAGGGCCTCATACCAACGGGCCTGGGTTGGCTAGAGGTGCTGGCCTGGAGCGAACCTTGCCAGGGGCAAATGCTGAGTAAGGCCCACTCACCAGAGAGCAGGCCCACAACACTGCTGGTGCCCCTGCCCCAGGGAGGCCACGCCCTCCCTCACACAATGCTGCTGTGTGGCAAGCTAGGACCAGTGTTGTTACCAGCAGCCCTGGTACCTGGGACAGCTCCTCTGCCACGCTCAGCATGCCCTGCTGGTACAAGTGCTCCACAATCGCCATCTGCAGAATCTGCTGCTGCTGCTGCTTCTCCCGCGACTCCCACACCGAATCTGAGACCACGCTACAGAGCTCGGCATCGAAGTTCTGGGAAATGAATGAGAGGAGTCAGTGGTGCCCCTGAGAATGAGGGGATGCCCCCCCCCATCTATCACCTTCCGGCCTGATCACATGCTCATAAACAAACCCCCTGCAACTTCCTGCAAAGCCACCCCACAACAGCACGCTCCCACCCAAACCACTACAGCCCCTGCACTGAGCTGCTTTCAGTTGGCTGACTGGATCACAGCCTCAGAGCCACATCATCTCATTTCTGGGTGGCATAGTAGTAGGTCGTGACACTCTGTACCTCAAAGCAGCACCCTGGACCCCCCATATACACCCCATCATATAAGTATGATCTATTTCATACAAAGTATGTCATGTAAGGAGTCATATGAAAGGTCATGATCCGCAGAAACCCACTGTTCTGTCCAAATATGTATGCTGTTATTGTGTGTGAAGTTGTGAGATTTTGCTATATGGTTTTTACTGAAATATGTTGCTAGTTCTCTAGTGACAAAAAAGGAGGTGATCCCCACCCAGGAGGGTGTTAAGTGTCCATTAAACAGCAGAGGAGTTGTAAACAAGGGATTTACAATGCAGTAAGAGGGCTGCACAAGCATCACACAAAGGGGGATTGCTCAACTCTGTGACTCAGCAAAGCCCACCTGGGCTAATGTTTTCCAGGCACATGGACTGAGGATATAAAATAGAGGACAGTGGACTCATGCTTTGGCCTTTCTCCTCCCCCACCTATGCTGGAAGCAACAAGAACACAGGGAAGACAAAGACTTGAACTGAGGAGACTGGTCCCAGGCTTAAAGAGGAAGCCTATGTATTAAGAAATATCACCTACTTGCAACATCCAGTGGGGTGAGACAAACTGCTTGATCCAAATACTGCCTAATGTAATAAGGTTTAAGATTTAGACTGCACACTTAACTTTTATTTCCTTTGGTAACTATCTCTGACCTTTTGTGGCTACCACTTCTAATCACTTAAAATCTCTCTGTAGTTAATAAATCTGTTTTATATTTTACCTAAAGCAGTGTGTTTCAATTGAAGTGCTTCGTAAATCTCAGCTCAGTTTACAAAGGCTAGTGACTGTCCTCTCCACATCGAGGGAGGGGCAGACTGGGTAGTAAACATACGCTGGTCAGGCTTCTAATCAGGGCAAGACGGAACAGCTTTGGGGTGCAAGGCTGGGGGCTTGGAAGATTTGCTGGTACCTTTCTCCATGTGATTCATGAGTAGTTCAGGGAGCATTCATGCAATTTAGCTAGGTGTGGTGTCCACATGCTGTTAGGGTACTGAGTGATAACAGCGCCCGAAGGGGTTTGCTGCTTTTCACTAGCAAAGCATTGTGAGAGACAGCCCAGTCTGGAGAGCTAAGGGGGCACAGCAGTACCCCAGTTCCAAGTTGTACCCTGGGGAGTCCTTCACAGAGGTGAAATGTGAGCTCCTTAGGGCCAAGAACACGTCAGAACAGGAGGGCCCCGATCCTGACTGCAGCACATAAAACAGGCATGAACCCACAGGAGCAGGAGGCACTCAGGACCACAGAAAGCCCAACACCATGAGAACTGGCTCCCACCATGATGCCACTGGGCACCAGCAGATGAGGGAGACCTTGGGGGATATCTTCTCCCCATACTCCAGCCTGCAGAGGGCCAAAGAACCAATGGGAGTGAAAGCCATCGCTAAGGCAGGGATTCCCATCTGGGCCCCCAGGTCCAACCCCTGGATCCTAGACAAAAGGGGGTACTCACCCTATCAATGGCTTTGCCCACCCTGGAGACACTGCTGTGAATATCTTTATGGTCCGAGGCCAGTTTCTGCACCGTGTCCTTGATCTTTCGACAGCACTGGGCCATCATCAGGGAGAGTGTGGCAGACAGCGGTGCCCCCTGCAGGGCTGCAGCAGAAAGGGTCTTCAGACCTAGCTGCGGGGACTAGCCAGGAGCCTATTCCAGGAAGTGCAAGTCCCTTACTGCGAAGGCTTTGCACCAGAAAAGCAGCAGCTTTGAGCTACATCTGCCAAACACTGCACCATGCACCAGAACTCCCCCTCCCCTGCCAGAACAATAAGCCACTAGGCTAGGCCTCAGAGTGACTTCTGTTTAACTAAGCACCACTCTAATCCACCATGAAGTTTGGGCAACTGCTCCCCGCTGCAGGACTGGGGTCAGGAGCAGCCTGAGCGTCCGGGGGCCAGATAACGCAGAGCTGATTGGGAGCAGCTGGAAATGGCTGGTGCAGCCGAGGACTTTGACCAGTGCTGGTCCAGAGCAACAGCCTCAGATACTCAGTATCACCCTCTGCAGGCAGATGCCTCACAAGCTCTGCCAGGATTTCACCCCCCAAGAGCTGGTGTGTCCCCGCACTGGCCTACAGCCACCCCAGCCAGAAGCGGGGCTGAGCCACAGGGCTGTCTGCTCAGCAGATGGAAGTGGAGGTCAGTCTCCATCCATAGATCTGTGGTCAGCGACCACCCCACCTGGACCCGGCGCTCTGCCCCTGAGCACCCTGCTACGGTTTGGGAACAGGCCCGGCTGCAGGAGGAGCACAGTGCTGCGTCACTGCCTCACTCCGGCGGGCTGGCTGGTACCTGTGCTGCTGAGCTCCTGGCGCAGTTGGCTCACGTAACAGAGCAGCTCCTCCAGGCTCCGCTCACAGTGCTGCCCATAGCTCAGGAACTTGTGCAGCACTTTGTCCAGCTCTCGCTCCACAAAGGCGCACAGCTCCATCATCCGACGGACCCTACAGGGAGAAGCACAACACACAGGCGTGAGGCTCCATCATCCGACGGACCCTACAGGGAGAAGCACAACACACAGGCGTGAGGCTCCATCATCCGACGGACCCTACAGGGAGAAGCACAACACACAGGCGTGAGGCTCCATCATCCGACGGACCCCACGGGGGGGAGCGCACGGCACAGGCGCGAGGCTCCATCATCCGACGGACCCCACGGGGGGGGAGCGCACGGCGCAGGCGCGAGGCTCCATCATCCGACGGACCCCACGGGGGAGCGCACGGCGCAGGCGCGAGGCTCCATCATCCGACGGACCCCACGGGGGGGAGCGCACGGCGCAGGCGCGAGGCTCCATCATCCGACGGACCCCACGGGGGGGGAGCGCACGGCGCAGGCGCGAGGCTCCATCATCCGACGGACCCCACGGGGGGGGGGGAGCGCACGGCGCAGGCGCGAGGCTCCATCATCCGACGGACCCCACGGGGAGCGCACGGCGCAGGCGCGAGGCTCCATCATCCGACGGACCCCACGGGGGGGGAGCGCACGGCGCAGGCGCGAGGCTCCATCATCCGACGGACCCCACGGGGGGGAGCGCACGGCGCAGGCGCGAGGCTCCATCATCCGACGGAGCCCACGGGGGGGGAGCCCACGGCGCAGGCGCAGGCGCGAGGCTCCATCATCCGACGGACCCCACGGGGGGGGAGCGCACGGCGCAGGCGCGAGGCTCCATCATCCGACGGAGCCCACGGGGGGAAGCAAACCACCACCAAGCGCGCGCCCCCCCGACGAACTCCCCCCCCGCCGCCGCCGGCCCCCACTGCCAGGCCCCCGTCAGCACGCGCTGCCCCGCCCAGACCCCGCCGAGCGGGGGGCTCCAGCGCCGAGCCCCGCCGGGCCCGGCCCGCTCCGCTCACCCGGCGCCTGGGCAGCTTCAGCGCTTCCGGCAGCTGCCGAGTGCGGGGGCCGGACTGTCCCACTGCGCGGCGGGATCCCCCTCCCCGGGAGGCGAGCAGTGGTAGGTTCCTACGGCAGCCGGCGTGGGAGGGGGCGAGACTGGCCCATTCCTACGGGAGGGGCTCACCTAGCGACCGGCCCTCTGTCTCCCGAGCTTGGTACCGCCCGTCCACAGTGCGGGCAAACCATCCTCGCCGGGCGGGGGGAAGGGGAGGGCGCTGGAACGTACCATTTCCCGGGTGTTTAACCCGAGAGTCCGCGCGCCCAAGCTGCGGCGAAGCGCACGGCTCCTGGCGGGGGCGGGCAAGGGGTGGAGGGAACGGTGCCGGGGGGGGGGGTCAGTGCTGGGGGCAGGGAACGGTGCCGGGGGGGGTCAGTGCTGGGGGCAGGGGGTCAGTGCTGGGGGCAGGGAACGGTGCCGGGGGGGGGTCAGTGCTGGGGGCAGGGAACGGTGCCGGGGGGGGGGGTCAGTGCTGGGAGGGAGGGTTAGGGGAGGTTCAACAAGGATAAGGGCAGGGTCCTGCACTTAGGATGGAAGAATCCCATGCACCGCTACAGACTAGGGACCGAATGGCTAGGCAGCAGTTCTGCGGAAAAGGACCTGGGAGTTACAGTGGACGAGAAGCTGGATATGAGTCAGCAGTGTGCCCTTGTTGCCAAGAAGGCCAATGGCATTTTGGGATGTATAAGTAGGGGCATAGCGAGCAGATCGAGGGACGTGATCGTTCCCCTCTATTCGACATTGGTGAGGCCTCATCTGGAGTACTGTGTCCAGTTTTGGGCCCCACACTACAAGAAGGATGTGGATAAATTGGAGAGAGTCCAGCGAAGGGCAACAAAAATGATTAGTTTCAGAGGAACAGCCGTGTTAGTCTGTATTCGCAAAAAGAAAAGGAGTACTTGTGGCACCTTAGAGACTAACCAATTTATTTGAGCATGAGCTTGGAGCCACACCACTTTATTTGAGCAGTGAGCTGTGGCTCATGAAAGCTCATGCTCAAATAAATTGGTTAGTCTCTAAGGTGCCACAAGTACTCCTTTTTTTAAAAATGATTAGGGGTCTGGAACACATGAGTTATGAGGAGAGGCTGAGGGAGCTGGGATTGTTTAGCCTGCAGAAGAGAAGAATGAGGGGGGATTTGATAGCTGCTTTCAACTACCTGAAAGGGGGTTCCAAAGAGGATGGAGCTAGGCTGTTCTCAATGGTAGCAGATGACAGAACAAGAAGCAAGGGTCTCAAGTTGCAGTGGGGGAGGTTTAGATTGGATATTAGGAAAAACTTTTTCACTAAGAGGGTGGTGAAACACTGGAATGCGTTACCTAGGGAGGTGGTGGAATCTCCTTTCTTAGAGGTTTTTAAGGTCAGGCTTGACAAAGCCCTGGCTGGGATGATTTAACTGGGAATTGGTCCTGCTTCGAGCAGGGGGTTGGACTAGATGACCTTCTGGGGTCCCTTCCAACCCTTATATTCTATGATTCTATGAATGGTGCCGGTGGGGGGGGGTCAGTGCTGGGGGGGGGGTTTCAGTCCTGGGGGGAGGGAACGGGGAAGGGGAGGGGTCAGTGCTGGGGGCAGGGAACCATGCCGGGTGGGGTCAATGTTGGGGGGAGGGAATGGTGCCGGTGGGGGGGTCAGTGCTGGGGGGGTTTTCAGTCCTGGGGGCAGGGAATGGTGCCGGTGGGGGGGGTTCAGTGTTGGGGGGAGGGAATGGTGCCGGTGGGGGGGGTTCAGTGCTGGGGGCAGGGAACGGTGCTGGGTGGGGTCAGTGCTGGGGGCAGGGAACGGTGCCGGTGGGGGGGGGGGTCAGTGCTGGGGGGAGGGAACGGTGCCGGGTGGGGTCAATGTTGGGGGGAGGGAATGGTGCCGGTGGGGGGGGGGTCAGTGCTGGGGGGGGGGTTTCGGTCCTGGGGGCAGGGAACGGTGCCGAGGGGGGTCAGTGCTGGGGGCAGGGAACGGTGCCGGGTGGGGTCAATGTTGGGGGGGAGGGAACGGGGAAGGGGGGGTCCAGTGTTGGGGGGGAGGGAATGGGGGGGGTCAGTGTTGGGGGAGGGAATGGTACCGGTGGGGGGGGTTCAGTGTTGGGGGGGAGGGAACGGGGAAGGGGGGGTCGGTGCTGGGGGCAGGGAACGGTGCTGGGTGGGGTCAATGTTGGGGGGAGGGAATGGTGCCAGTGGGGGGGGGGTCAGTGCTTGGGGGGGGTTTCAGTCCTGGGGGCAGGGAATGGTGCCGGGAGGGTCAGTGTTGGGGGGAGGGAATGGTGCTGGTGGGGGGGGGGTTCAGTGTTGGGGGGAGGGAACAGGGAAGGGGAGGGGTCAGTGTGGGGGCAGGGAATGGTGCTGGTGGGGGGGTTAGTGTTGGGGGGGGGAACAGGGAGGGGAGGGGTCAGTGCTGGGGGCAGGGAACCATGCCGGGTGGGGTCAATGTTGGGGGGAGGGAATGGTGCCGGTGGGGGGGGGGGGGTCAGTGCTGGGGGGGGTTTCAGTCCTGGAGGCAGGGAATGGTGCGGGGGGGGGTTCAGTGTTGGGGGAAAGGAACAGGGGAGGGGAGGGGTCAGTGCTGGGGGGAGGGAACAGGGGAGGGGAGGGGAGGGAAGGGGTCAGTGCTGGGGGGAGGGTATCAAGGCCCAGACCAGCTCTGCTCCTGTGGAGGGAACAAAACCTGGTGGGTCAGCAACCTAGCAGGGAACCCATAATACCATTTGTGATCTCATGCCCTTCGTCCTGGCCCCACCAGCCCCAAGGGCCTGGAGTGGGCGTCCCTGCCCACTCCCCCCGGTGCTCCCTGCCTCATGCCCACAGCACAGGTGCTGCAGCTGCACTCTGGGGCTCCTGCCTCGTGCCAGGCCCTGGGGAATGATGATGCTTGGGTCAAAGAGAGATGGTGGTAGCATGAGGGTGTCTGCACCGGCTAGAAGCATGTGCAGGAAGGGCTGGCGTAGCCTGAAGGTCCCAAGCAAGGGCAAGCTGCTCTGCAGTGCTGTTGGAGAAGGGCCTCTGCAGGAGGGCCACCATCTTTCACAGAGGGTGAATCAATGTTGTGGAATTCAGTAAACCGGTTTCACCACCAACCCAATAATCTAAACACTCGATTCTTCCTGAGACGCCACAACTCTGCCCTGTGGCATCTGCAGCAGGAGCTTGGTTTCTGGCTTCCCTGCCAAGTTTTGGTGCCGCCCTCTCCTACGTCCCACCTCACCTCCCCACGGCTCTAATTGTTGGGTGTAAACCTGCTGCAAGGATCAGAGCCCGGCACCCCAGAGCCCTGGCCTGATGTGGGCACCAGCAAACAAATGAGATTTCAACAGCCAGCTGGCCCAGAACAACAAACCTTCAACAGATCCCGAGCTCCAGCTCCCACTCCCTAAAGCCAAGCCCCACTGGGCTAGCAGCTGGGAGCACGGCTCTGTGTGCACACAGCCTCAGTCACTGCAGGGCCAAGCCAGGTCTATGGCATAGACAGGTGCCAAGCACCACCATGACAAGAGGTGATTTAAAAGGAGACCCTGGCCAGTGGTTGAGGGTACTAGAGCTGTTGGCATCTTGTGTATTTCAGTTCCAAACAGAGTTGAGAGGGTGCTGCCAGGACGAGGCCAGAGAGATTGACCCTGCCAGCCCAGCAGCACCTGTGCCCAGCAGAACTGAGTAGATCAACTCACAGAAGCCAGTTTGGTTCCTCTCCACCCGTCAAATAACCTGCAGGTGGGAGAGGCAAGTGGTGCTGCACCAGGACTGCTCGTGGGGGCTTGTGTCTGACCTTAAAGAGCAGCATGTCACTGCCAGGCCATTAGAGACAAACCAGAGCCCCACACTGCAGCAGCAACATGGACAATGGAGCAGGCAGCTGCTGTAGGTGGGGCCCAGCATGGGCAGCTAGGGGCCAGGCCATGTGGAGCCCTGTCTGCATCATCCTCAGAAACTGGGCCTATGGTCTGTCCCCACGCTGGGAGCACTGCTCCCCTTCCCAGACTCTCCTGCCTTTTGCTCAACCTCCCTGGTCAGCAGCAATTGGAGCTTTGTCTGCAGCAACCTCCTGGAGTGCAGAGCAAATACCAGCTTCACTGCTGCCATATACTGCCAGCCGGGAGGCCTGTAACTCACCCACTGAGCATCCAAGGACAGCTGCTGGGGTCACCCCCATGGAGGGAGAGAAAGAAGCAGCCACAGGAGCCAGAAGTACCAAATTCAGATTTATTCCAGGAGAGGCTGAGGAGAGCCTTGCCAGGCCTGGACCTTCATATCCAGAGCACCCAGCTTCCCGCCCCACCCCATGGTGCTAGCCAGCCCTTGCCCACCCCTCAGCACCAACCCACAGCCTACCTCCTGGTGAAAGAAGGCTCTGCGAGGCAAGCTTCATACCCAGACGTCGGCTGGGCAGGGGGCGAGGATAGGCCTGAGTGATGGTGCATGCTCTCTGGCAGGAGCTGCTTTCCTTCTCCCCTTCTCTATGGCAGGATACCTACCCAGCTCTTCTCCATCTCTGAAGCAGCACGAGAAGCCCCAGCACAGAGGCCACAGCCCTGGGTGGCATGCAAAGCCCCTGCACCTGTCCCCCGTGGCATGAGCCCTATAATCACTCCTTTTCTCCTGCTGCAGATACTCCAGCAGAGCCAGGTGCCAGGGCAGCTCTAGCCCTGGCAGGAAGTGCTCCCAGCATCCGTGTTTCACATTTCCCAGGCCTCAAGCCCAAGGCCAGGCTACCTGCATGGGCACCCAGCACAGGCACAGCAGGGCAGGTTCACTCTGCCTGCAGCTCTCAGGCTGGACTGCCCACTGGCCCCAGCACTGTGTGAAGGACATGGAGCAAGACTGGCAGGCATGCAGCTTGGACAGCGTAAGGAGATGAAGTTGGGCATTTCCCTAGCAGGGCCAGAGCCCTCACTGGGGTAGGAAGCAGCAGGGGATGGGGGAGGAGGAACAGGAAATCCCACTTGATGCTGGGCTTCTGTTTGCTGGACAGTAAGAATCATGGTGCAAACTCGCCCTGCCAAAAGCAGCTGTTGGAGCACATGCCCCTGCTGCAGAGGCAGAAGTAACACTTGCTCTTGAGACTCCCACAGGGATGGCCCTGCAGTGGTCACAGGTTCATCAGTCTGAGATGGAGAAGCCCCCTTGGCTAACCCAGTCAGTCCATGGTGCAGCCTGGGTACCATCCCAAGAGTTCTTGCCCCTTCCCAGTCCAGGCTGCTGGCTTCCTATTCAGATTTTTGAAGACTCGACTCTCTCGATCCAGGGTGAGTCGGTGTCGGGGTCAGCATCTCTGGGCTCAGCCCGCAGGTACCGCAGCTCCCTTTCCAAAGCCTGGCTGCGCTGGTACATCTCCATGTAGCTTGCCTGGATCTCCCTCTGGTAGCGCAGCACTTTCTCCTTCTCCTCCTGCCAGGTTTTCCGCTCCAGCTCAAAGTTCACAGCCTGCAGCTGGGCCTGGCGCCGCTCACGCAGCAGCTCTGCCCACAGCCACTCCACCTGCCTCTCTGGGGGCTCCCCACTCTCGCTGTGAAGACCCCAACACTTGGAGTCATCAGTTTCACAGCCAGAGAAGTCCTGGCAGACTGGCATGGGAGCATCCCCCAAAGGGAGGGAGGAGCTGGGCTCTGGTGGGGCCTGGAAGGAGTCCCCTAGCTGGGCCAGCTGCGAGTCCTTGGCTTGCACCTCTGCCCGGGCCTCCCGCAGCTGGGTCTTCAAGCTGAAGATCTCACTGAGTTTCTGAGCCATCTCCTCCTGGGAGTCTCGAAGCTGCTGCTTGAGCAGTGAGATCTCAGCTGCCTTCTGACAAACCTGCAGGAGATGCAGAGAAAGGGTGGGGCGGGACAGAGCAAGAAATGAGATGCACAGGAAAAGTTGGGGTGGGGTTTAGAGTTGTTGGGTGCATCTGGATAGGAAACCCCCATTCTATCCCAACTCTGCCAGGCAGGGGCATAGAGCATTAAACCTGCCATGTGGCAGCCATTACCAGACAGCACTCTCAGGATTTCCACAGGCAGGAAATGGAGGCTTTGCAGGGGTGTGAAGAATGAGAAGGGATGGGGCGGGGCGTCACTAGGCTTTTGGCTCTAGAGCCGGGTCCATAGCTGCATTAAGCCATGGATGACAGTGGCTCAACCTCTCTCTGCTTCATCCTGAGAGAAAGTTCCCCCACAAAAACCCCGGAGAACGGTACAGTTGGAGCCTGTGCCCAGGGCTGAGGCTGTGGGTTGGGACTGAGGGGCGCTGGGACAGCTGCTGGGGCAGAAGGGTGGAGGAGAGATACAGAGCTCTCCTTTACTCACCTCCCACCTGGTCTCTTCTAGTTTGGGGCTGACACGTTCACACTGCTGCTGCCACTGCCTCAGCTCCTCACACTGGCCCTGGTGCAGGCTCAGCTCCTCCTGCAGCCGCTTCTTCTCCTGCTGCGCTTTGTAGAGCTGCAGCTGCAATGCCCGCTGGCTGCGCTGGGCCTGCTGGGTCACCTGCTGCAGCTTGGCGACATACATCTGCTTCAGCTCGTCCAGCGCATCCACCCACAGATGCTGTTTGTCCTCAAAAACCTGCTGGCACAAAGAGAAGTCTGTGCCCAGCTCCTGGGACAAAGTGCCAGGCAGCCCAGCCCCCTCCAGCAGCTCAAGGTCTAGGGTGAAGGATCCCATCACTCCTTACAGCCCCAGGGCCTCAAAGGGAGCAGCCTGGCCCCATGACACTGGAATGGGAAGCAGCAGCTCTAAGAGTCACCCCCCAGCAACACACAGTCCATCTCCAAGCAGGATTCAGCCAGGACGGCACTGGACCATTCTCACACTAGTACGTGCTTCTGAAATGTAGTCCGGGGACCAAATGTCTCCGTTTTCTCAGAGAGCAGATACAGGCTGGGCAGCTGCTCCTATTGGCCACCCCAGCCTCCTCCCACCACCACCTTGGTGCAAGGCGGAAAAGGTTCCTCGTGCATGGAGATTTCCCAGTCCGATCGCTCTGGAGCAAGCCGGATGCTCTGGCACTGGGAGCAGCAGAGCCCAGGCTCCCCATTGCTCAACAGGTCACTGGATTCTGGAGGTGAACGTGCCCTTCCCCAGCCCTGCTCGCACCGGACACAACACGCTGGCACACTACTGCCAGCACAGTGCTCCAGGGAATCAAGGACCACGCACAGACCCCAGCACAGTGAGCTCCACACAACAGCACAGGGGCAATGCATGAGACACTAGCCTCCCTGTTTGGGGGGGCAGAGGGGGCACACGGATGGGGTGAGAAGCGGGCCCAGGGCCCTGCACCCTCAGGCCAGCCCCACTGCACTCACCTGTGTGAAGGGGTCTTCAGTCTCACTAAGGCTCCTCTTCAACTGCCACAGCTCCCCACTCTTCTCGTGCAGCCGGTCCTCTAGCTGCTTCACCACGTCCTCCAGGGAGTAGGTGAACTCGTAGGGGGGTGGGGGCTCCCCACAGCTTTGCAGCCGGCTTAGCGTGGCCATGCTCTTGCAGGACAGAGGCGCTTTCTCCACTGCCAGGGGGTCTCTGGGGCCCCAGGAGGCCCTGTCAAGGGAGCCCCCAATGTGGTTGATGTGGCCCATGGAGGCGCTGAACTGGCCCTGGGCAGGTTTGAAGTGGGGAGGGTAGATGGGGAAGCTCTGGATGGAGTTGTGGTTGGAATTGGAGGCCTCGTCTAAGCTGATGGTGTGCAGCAGGTGGGTGCGCAGGGGGCCATGCTGGGAGGAGGGACTGGTGCTGGTGCTGCTCTGGGACAGGAGGGTGTGCAGGCTCCCGTTGCTCTTTGACAGCTTCTGCCCTTTGGATGAGGCCAGGCCCTGCATGGACACCAGGCCTTTCCCAGCCACTGCCTTGAAGGCCGATGGCCTGATCCGACACTGAAAGACAAGGGAGCCAAGGATCAACCTGGTCTCAGCAGAGCCGCTCAGCAGGGAGAAGAGCTGGGGAACCCCAGTCTGTGTCCCCAGCTGCAGGATGGCTCAGCGCTGCCCCACCCCTTTGCCCTGGACACAGATATGAGGCTTATGTACAAGGACCTCCCAGCTTCTATCTGTCACAGCAGATACATGGGCCCAGCACCACCTGGCCTGCCAAGAGCTAGGGGGCTGTCCGCAAGGGCCCCCTCCTCCCATGCTCTGCGCCAGCCAGCTCCCATTTGGTGGCTGCTCTCCACTCTGGAGGCAGCTGCATTTCAGGGGCGGTTGGTGCGATGCACTTGTGGAAAACATCCCTACAACTAGTCATGTGGATCCCTAGCCACATTGCCTGCCCCAGCCCAGCACCCAGGGGCCTCACCTTGTCAAAGCGGCCCCGCTCCGGCAGCGAGCTCTTGGAGAAGTCTGCCCCCCGGTGGTGCTCACGGGAGTAGCGGTCAGGGGACTGGTTCTCACGGTCGCTCTCGTAGTCCCGAGACGCTCCCGGCGCCTGGTGCTTCCTCTCGGCCCGGGGCTCCTTCCTGGCACCGTGCAGGTAGCTGAAGAGCTCCCGCTGGCTCGGGCCCTTCCGGAGCAGGCCGTCCGGCTGCCGGAACCCCCGCGAGCCCCCCAGCCCCGCCCTCAGCTCCACAGGCGTCAAGTCCTGTTTCTCCACCAGGCTGCCCACGCTGCCCATGCCGCAGCCGCAGCTCCCAGGTGCAGAGGCTAGGGAAGAGTCAAGGAAGCAGTTGCCAGGGTCACAGGTCACATGAGGGACCTGTGCTGTTGCCATGGAGAATTAGACCAGCAGGTGGGACCAGCACTGCCAAAGGAGGGAACAGACAATCAGCAAAGGGGTGTGAGTGGCTGGGGCTACCCTATGTCCACCAGCCCCACCCTGAGGGGGAGAGCCGTGCTCCCTCCCCCCCATCCCCATGGATGCCCAGCCAGCCAGAGGGGAGGCAGAGCGGCCACATCTCCCTGTGTCACGCAGCGCCCACTACTGCTCCCCCCTGACAAGTCCCTGATCACCCCAGCATTTACAGCAGGGCCCCAAAGAATCATCCAGGGTCCCCATGCAGGAGGGGAGTCAGTCTCCATGTGACCATAATCCTAGCCCCACCCCGCCCCCTGCTTACAAGCAGCCTCTGGCAGAAGTGGGTCTGTACTGAGCCAGCTGCTCCCTTCAGGCCTATAAACTGAGGACGCAGGTGCCTTCTTTCAACTTCTGGAGCTGGGAACCCCAACAGGAGCCAGCCGGACACCAGCATGTTCCCCAGAGATAAAACCACTCTACCACTCACCTGCTCCCCCCAGGCAGCCAGAGCCAAGCCCCGGGGAGCAGCACACCGGGAGGATCCGGCTGGAAGTCGATCTGCCCTGCCACCCAGCCAAGGCTGAACTGCTCGCTCCTATCTGACGTGGTGGTTCCCACACCCAGCTCCTCCTCCCGCCTGGGGGGCTGGGGAGGGAAACCAAAACAAGCACATGCCACCCAGCCAGGCAGGCAAGCTCCAGAGCTCCTGTCACCTGCCTGGGCTCTGTCCCCAGGCTGATTCCTGGACAATTGGTCCACACGGGGCTGTGGCTGCCCTCTCCGAGCTCAGACGGGACCCTGGGCCAGCAGCATGACCTTTCATGCGCGCACGCACCCAGCAGCCAATGGTGCTTCCAGGAGCCTTTGCAGACCCAGGCCACAGCACTGAGTTGGGGTGGGGCTCCTCAGACCAGCTCAGGGGAGAGCAGTCAAGAGGGGTGCGGGGGATCCAGCCCAGCTGAGCAGACAACACCCCTCCATGGCTGTTCTGAGGCCTGGGACCAGCAAACTGGGGTCTCAGTAGCACAAAATCCAGCATCCAGCTTAGCTCCCTGTTGGCAGCTACAGCAGAGGGGCCAAGGGCTGGCTGGGCTACAGAGGCTGCTACCCCCTGGCTCCCAAGGAGCGGGGCAGTGTTCCTCTCTGAGCTGTGCCTGCTGTGGGCATGACTGGCTCCCCCAGCGTTGTTAGGCCAGCACCTCACCTCCCCGTTAGTGCAGCAGCTTTCCCTGCAGAGGAAGGACCAGAACCCAGCTCAGGAGCTGGGGCTGGGGGAAAGAAGCCCAGCACCTTTCACCCTTGAAGTGCGAGTGCAAGGTACCAGGGGAATCCCCCACAGGGGAAACATGGCCCTTTGCTGGAGGCTGGGCCACTGATCATGCCGAGTGCTTTCCTAACGACAGCACAATGCCAAAGCCCACAGGTGGCAGATGCAAGTGCCCCCAGAGCAGCAGGGCACTGCTGCGGCTAGGATGGAAAGTCTGGCAGGGGAGAAGCTCCGCACATGAGCCAGAAACTCTTTTTCCATTCAGTCCTGATCCTGCCCCCACTGCACTTAATGGACAAACTCTTGCCAAGTCCCATGGGCTCAGAACAGGGTTCCTATCCCACCTCGACCTTCTGGGCCTGACCAGCTGCACCAAGAGGAGCAAGGCAAATGGCAGCCCAGGCCTCCATGTACCCAAGGCCCCATGGCCTGCACTCCCTGCGATCCTCCCCATGCCCCCGCACTCCATCCTCTCGAGGATGGACACAGGGGCTAGGCGTCCAGCTCCTCCGGACAGTCCTGCCCCAGCCCCGAGGAGGGGAAGGGCTAAGATACTCCATTTCAGGCAGCGAACAAAAGCAGATACTGTGGCATGGGGGCTGTGGGGCACAGGCCAGATGGCACGAGCAGGGGAGGCAGGAACAGGAAGGACGTGAGGCAGGAAGTGGCAGTTTCCTGAGCAGGTTCTGGGCTGCACACTCTGGGCCCTGCTGGGCCTGGGAGGAAGCCCAGGAGGAAACAGACAATGCTGCTAGCAACTGACAAGCCCCTCACCCTTCCCCTGAGGCGCAGCAGGCAGGAACAGCCCTTACCTCCCCAGTGCTACCCAGCCCAGGGCAGTGGTCAGGCCTCCCCCTCAGTACATAGGGCTACCGACCCCAGCATCACCCCCAACTTGGTCCACTCCCCAGGCTGGCTCCACCCCCGAGGGAGCAGCTGCCTGTTCCCCTCTCAGTGCCCTGCCCCTCAACCCTGGGCAGCAGCGGTGCAGCGAGACCAGCCAGTTCTAGGGCCTGGTGCCGCACCAGAAGGGAACACAGGTAACCCAGCCCAACCTAAGAACCGGCATGATGCCCACAAGTGCCCAGCTGGGAGAGCTCCTCGCTCTGGGCAGCATTTCCACCTGCCCAGACTGCAGAACTCAGCCCAATGCCCCCGAAGGCCATTGCCCACTCACTGCAGGCTCATGCTTTGCCTTGGGCACCCAAATCAGCAGTGGCATCTCCACTGGCAAAGGCAGTCTCCAGGGGCTTGCCTCCAACACCCTCCCCTTGCCAAAGACTGCAGAGCCAGCGGGGGCACAGTTCACTAGAGGCCCCATTTTACAGACGGGGAAAGTGGGGCAAAGCAGTTAAATGACTTGCCCAGCAAAGACCAACCAGCCTTGGAATAACGTCATGACAGCCAAAAATGAACAGGCTAAGCTGGGAGCGAAGGCTCCCACGGGAACAGCACAGCTTCAGGCTGCCCATGTGCCAGAACTGCCTGGGCCGGGAAAGCACAGACTGTGCCATGAGTCTCACCCCCTGGTTCTCCAACACTCAGCCCTGGATACCCGAGCATCCGGGGGCAGGGATCTTCCCTTCAGAGCCCCAGTGAGACCAGGACACCCAAGTGTGGGGGCGAGGAGATGAAGCTGTCCAAGGCCCACAGCTGGGAACCTGTTACAAGTCTCTGCACCACTGAAGCTTGGGAGACAAGAGGAGGGATCTCAGCCTGCTCCAAGCCCAGCACTGCCAGGGCCCGACAGATCCCTGCTGGGGGCCCTGGGTCAGGAGCTGCAGCTCAGGTGTAACGCCCCAGCTCTCTGCACCAGGCACTGTGTAAACAAACAACTCCCCTTTAATCACTGCCACGCACAAACCTGTCTGACAGCTCCTGCCCTGCAAGGTCATCTCCCGCCTAGGGAACCCAGGATCTGCTCCCACGAGCCGCCTACATACAGCTTTCAACCTGGGGAGGAAAGACCCACGCTCCTCAGGGGAGCTGGGCCACCCTGGATGCCGCTGGGAGCTCAGAGGGGTCTGCAAGGGTTCTCGCTCCTCAGAGACTGGGCAGGGCTCCCTGCACCTCAAGCACCAGATTCTCCAGCAGCAGACCCCACATCCTGAGAAAGCTGCTGAGACCAGACCCCACAGCCAATTCCCCCTATGAACCACACAAGCACCCCAAGAAGAGGTAGACTGCCTCTGTGGGCGAGGAATGGTCTGCGGAGCAGCTCAGCTTGCAGGAGCTCCTGGGCCCGATCTCCTCCCTGTACCCGAGATGCCACTGAGACCTGTGCCCAGTGGGCATCTCCCTGTGAGGGCACTGCTCTGGGAGACCAAGGCAAGTGGTACCCAGGTGCCAGCCCACTGCCTCCTCCCCTTCTTAGAAGGGGCTTTTTTGGCTGCCTGAGGGGCACATGGCAGGGGCAGGCACCATGCAGTTCCAGGCCTCTCAGCCCACTGGCCCCTTGCTCCCTCCTGCAGCAGCCTCTCTCAGTGAGCCATGTCAGTGGGGTGGCCCACCCCAGAACAACCCTGTACACACCTCCATGGAGGGGATGGGCCCTGAGCTGGATTTCCAGGTATGCTGCACTGGAAAGTAACTCTCAGCCCCAGCCGGGACACAGCTGCCCTCCTTGGGCCCTAGGGTAACCCCACACACTTTCACACAGGAATAACACACTTCAGACTGAACACAGGGCACAAAGTTTTTACAGGGAGGGGAATTAGCCATTGATGCAACTTGCAGGGTTAATTCTCCAGTCATTGGAGGCTCTAAATCAAAACTGAGTGTCTTTTTGTAGGTTTCAGAGGAACAGCCGTGTTAGTCTGTATTCGCAAAAAGAAAAGGAGTACTTGTGGCACCTTAGAGACTAACCAATTTATTTGAGCATGAGCTTTCGTGAGCTGCTCACGAAAGCTCATGCTCAAATAAATTGGTTAGTCTCTAAGGTGCCACAAGTACTCCTTTTCTTTTTGTCTTTTTGTAAAAGCCCAACTCTAGCTCAGCCAGCTCTGGGCTGGCCGCAGGAACCACGAGAAGTTGCATCGTCTGTGCTCCACAGAGGTTCCGCCTGCATGGTCAGAATGATCCCTCTGGCCTTAAACTCTACGAATCCCCCCGTCAGGCACTCTCCCTTCTACAGCTCCATGCGCTCCCAGAGCTGAGCCAGCAGTACGGAGCTACCCTCCGGGGGACTCAGCTGAGCCCCGAACCCCGGAGGGGAGGCAGAGGTCAGGCTCTGTCCCTCACACACCCCACCTTGTGATGCCTTAGGACAGACAGCTGTAACCACAGCACCTGGGGCTGTGAGGAGCCCCCGGCTCCATGGGGCAGCCGGCCCAGAGGCAGCCCCCTTTTGCCAGGGGACGGACCAGCACTGCATCCCGTTCCTTCATGGCTTCGCTCAATCCTGCAGCACAGAGAACCTCTGAGCCGGCTTTGTCCAGCCAGCTTCTTGTGATTTTGGCTACGGATACAATGATCCCAAGTGGTCAGGTGCCATTTGACATCACCCCCAACGTCACTCTGGGGCAGTGGGATCAGCACCTACTGCGAAGGGAGAACATCCCGTACTGTCCTGAAGCACCTGGCTGTTCCTGGCAGGTGAGCTGCACTGGTCCTGCTTATCACTTCAGAGATCACAGGCTCAGGAGGCCTGGCTAACTCCCAGCCCCCGCTGCAGACACAGACAGGGAGCAGCCTGAAGGTATCCATGACACACGGACCTGAGGAACAGTCTCACCTGCTCCTGGGAACAGGGAATGCTCAGTGAGTGACTCCCCAGCCCCTTCCTTGGGTGGCAGCGGGTTAGTGAGGTTTATCCATTGCACAAAACACTGCATAGCCATCAGAGCCCTGCCCTGGCAGCCACAAAGCAAGGATATCCACTCCCTCCAGGTGCCAATGGGACACACCCCAGCCCCTCTGGAGTCCACAGAGTCTTGCCAGGACCTGGGCCTGTATCCCGATTGGTCTGGAAGTTCCTTTCAAATCAGCGTCTGGGACCTGCCGGGCTCCAATCCCACTGGGCTGGAAGGGCCCTTCCGGACTGGGCAGGTCCGTGCAGTGGGTGCACACGCATTCCGCAAAGCAAGCCTGGGGAAGGGCTCATGCACGTGCAACGCAGCAGAGCTTGCGGGCTTGATTCAATGGGAGCTTGGCCACAACTTCATCAGGAGCAGGCAGGGCCCTGGTACCCTGCCCTAGCTTTGGAGAGGCAGGCATCAGCAGAGCCTGTCTCTTCAGTAACAAAAGGGACAGGCACCGGGACTGCAGGAGAGACCCTGGGTGGAACTAAACCACAGACACCTCCCCAGGGTCATGGCCACAGCACGACTCATGGAGGGGCATTGAAGCTGGGGCTGCATTCCAAGGGAAGGGGCACATCCACCCACCAGTGCTGTGCTTGAGGGGCAGGGACAAACAGGGACCAGCCATGTGATGACACAAGCTGCCCTGGAGCAGCATGGGAGTGGGGTGGGAACCATTGAGGCAGGGTGAGAGAGCAGCCCCATCCCACGGCCACACAGCTGGAACACTTCAGCCCAGTGGCATCTGCAGAGGGAACATTCGAGCTGGGAAGATGCTGCCGAGGCCAGTACAACATAGCCTGGGACTTAGAGCTGACCAGCACAGAGCCCAGACCAGGGCCCAATCAGTGGCTGTACCCACAGGGGCAGGCTCTGCAATGCACGCTTAAGATGGAGTTTTTAAAAGTAGATTCAGCTTTCAGGCCTTAGGGGACTAGACTGACACCCCGTCCCGCAGCTCTTCACGCAGGCCACCAAGCCTGCAGTCTGGGCTGCACTCATGCCAGCAACCTGGAAGGAAATGGCCCAATCCCCTGAGTCCTGCAGACCCCAGTGAGCTGGGCTTTGTTGGCTCCTGAAGACTGGCTTTGCCAGGCTTCCTCCCCATGCCCTGGAACCACAATGAACAGCAAGAATCCAGCAGCCCCAGGGAGTCTGTCCCAGGCAGGGTGGCTGGGGGTTATTCTCCAAAACCTGACAGGAATCTTAGCACTGGCTGGAAACACTAGACCAGTGGTTCTCAAACTGTGAGTTGCAACCCAGTTTTAATGGGGTTGCCAGGGCTGGCTTAGACTTACTTGGGCCTGGGACAGAAGCCAAAGCCCGAGCCCCACCACCCAGGGCCATAGCCCAAGAGCTTCAGCACTGGGCGGCAAGACTCAGATTACAGGCCCCCTGCCTGAGACTGAAGCCCTTGGGCTTCTCCTTTGGCTTCCCAGCAGCGGGATTCAGGCAGGCTCAGGCTTCAGTCCCCCCTCCTGGGTCATGAAGTAATTTTTGTTGTCAGAAGGGGGTCTCAGTGCAATGAAGTTTGAGAACCCCCTGCTCTAGACAGTTGCTGCTCCATCCCCCTGCCCTGGGCAAGCTCCCTGGGAGCCACGAGCTATTTACCAGCCCCAGGTGCCGGGCGGCGACAGGATGCTCAGCACGGGGCCGTCCATTCCTTCTGACTCCAACTGGAAGGACTAGGAACCGGCAACATCATCAACCCCAAGGGAAGATGGGCACTTCCATGGGCAGCCACAAGATGCCTGTGGCAAGCAGAGGCAGTAGCTCCAGACCAGGAAAATGGCAGGCGTCTCCTGGTTTCTTCAGCCAGACCTTGTGGGTTGTGAAATCCCCAGGGCAGGTGAACAGCACCACTTGGGACCCCCACCTAAGCACCCCAGCTACTATCCCACACGGAGTCCCAGAGCACAGCACAGCCTAGGAACTGTTCAAGCACCGGACAAGGCATTCAGCCACCCATACCCATCCCACACGGCCCAGAGATGACTCCTGCCACTACCCTGCATCCCCCGCTTGCCAAAGCCTTGCTGTCAAGACTCCATATGCAACAGAGACGCA